AAAAGCCAGCTGGCTCAAACAAAGGAGAGCACCTCCTCTCTTCCAGACATGGAGCTAGGCCGGTGGGCGAAGGACAACCGCGCAAAGCCTCAAAGTGCTCCGGGCGGCACTAGCCGTCTGTCGGACCTTCGTGCAGCGACAACTTCCAGAAGAAAATCAAAAAGCCGACTCATCAAGGTGATCCTACGGAGACAATTTGGGTTCAGCTTGGCCATGAAGCTGTCTGCGGCAACCTCTTGAACATAACTCTCAAGAGTATGTTGGTGGCGAACTCTCATACGCCACATGAGGCGTGGAATGTCGCAGCCAGCTCTGTACTCATGCACCGCACCTCCTGCTCTCAGCCCCCCAGGCGTGACTTTAAGGGCAAGGGGGATTCCAAGGTGCTCGACAATCTTGTCCCATCTTCTCCTAAAACTACCTGGGCTGATAGGATACAATGCTTCATCTTGACGGAGGCTTCCAAAGAATGCATCTAACAGACCTACAATGGCAACATCATGTATGCTTGCATGCTGGACACGACCGCCCCCTCTTCTCCGACTCTTAGGCTGGCGGATTCGAATGAAGGCAGGCCCTGAAGGGTCGTTCAACAAGTCAGCAGGCAGAATAAGATCGCTCCGATAGGCCCGCAGGATTTCACCTGGGCGCATAATCCCATAGAAAGCTCCTAAGATGCAACCGGCAAATCTCCACCATCGCCAATGAATAGCGATGCTGGCCATGGCTCGAACTACGCTGCCGGGGATCGGAACTCTGTGTGTCGGAGGCTCAACCTCCTCCCAACGCTGCACGACATCCCAGCAGATGTGGATATATGGTCGGGCACCAATGATCTGCTTCTGGACTATGACCACTAGGTGCCGCAAAATATAAAGGCTCTTTCCTTCTCTAAATAAGAAATGTCCAAACTCTTTAACCAAGGTGCAAAGAAGTGCGGGGCTCCGCACTGCTGAGGAAAAAGCTTCTGCCGAGATACGCTCTAAACACCAGTCTCTGAACCACCGCCAGATCTTACTCTGCAAAGCTTGGGTCCGGGCTTCAGTCAGCTGCACGCTCTCTAAACCAAGGCTCCGATCCGCCCGAGTAGGCGGTCCCGGCTTCTGCGCTTCTCCCACCCTCCGGGTGCCAGTGAAGGCGAAGCAGCTGGGATCAAAACCACCGCGAGTCTTGAGAAACCCGCAACTGTATGCAAGGCCGGCGCAAACTGTTTTCGAAACAAGATCTGGGTAAGCTTGGGCAACAGAGGTCCAGGATTTCCTGTGGAAAGAGCTTCTGCCCCTAAGAACAATATGTGAATGTCCTCCCAGGCAGAAAGTGTCGTGTCCTCGAAGGGCCGAGTTGCTAAGAAACCTCGTCCTCTTTCTCCACTTTGCCTTGAAACGGCAGTAGTCGACTCTCCAGCTGCCAAGGCTCTCATGGGCTCCCACTAGGGTAACCCAAGGTGGCAACTTGAAGAGGTAGCTTGTGTCAGGGTTTTCAATCCAAAAAAGGACATCTAGATCTAAACTCAATTCGGCTAGACTAACCAACCAAAGTGCGCACGAGTTGCCTCTGGAGATCTTCTCTTGCATCGAGGGGCTCACACCTTCCTCACATCCCCAGGGTGATGCCAAGCTTCGAACACGAGGCCAAACGGCCTGAGAAAAAGAGGAACATACCGGTGCTGCACCCCAACATTCGAAAACTCCCCAGGCTACAAATTTGCTCAGAAGGCTGCGAAGTCGTTCGTCATCAAGATTCTGATTTGGACCGTCCTCTAGTTCGAAAGTGACGGTCCATAAGGGTGTCAGCTTCTGCATCCATTTGGCAACTCCTTTGATGCCAGAGAAAAGATCCAAATAGCCAGGTCTGTCTATCAGCTCATTCTCATCACCTAGATCGCTCCTCTTCAGTTGTCCCGAGCTCGTCCATTCCTCGAGCATCTTGAACACCTCAGAACTCTCTTTGGCTCCAAGGGGGCCAAACTTTCCAAAGAAGCAGGCGCGGGACCTTCCGCAAAGTCTGTCGCCCTCCTGCTCGATCGTCTCCTGGACCCTCTCAAAAAATCCACCTTCTGAAAACTGGAAAGACGTAGGGGGGTGACCTGAAGCCAAGGCACCATCACCAAGGCAACATGAGGCGGCACTATTGCCACCATCGGGCTCTCCCTGTGCGATAGAGCCCAAAAGCTCATCAAATTCCGGCAGCTCAGACAGGGTGTGACTATCCAACCCTTCTTTACGAAGCCAAGCATCAAAACCCTCGAACTTTCGGCGTGAAAGGGGCTCCCACCAACTTGGGAAATTCCAACATGCTTTGCGAAGAGGGACTCCCCTTGTAGGATCATCGCTCGGATTGCTCTTTGAGCTGAAGTACATGAACTCAGAGTACAAACCTAAGCCCAGCACGTCGCTCAGATTCCGCTCCATCTCCTGGTTCAAAGCAGGAGAGGCAGATCTTCCCTTCAGTAAAGCTCCAAGGCATACCTGGCTATCAAGGCCGAACAGGTCCCGACTGCCAGGCGAGTCGATTCCCGCTTTCTTCTCTGCAGCTAGAAAGGAACGAAGTTCACCAACATTGATGTGCCTAACTGTCTTGCTCCTTCTCTTGTGGAAAATACGAAAGCTCAAACACTTGGCCAAAGTTTCCCAAAGAGGATTCATGGCATAGCAAATTTCATTAGAGGGCAACTCTTGATCAACTTCTAGGAGACCATGAGAGCGCTCCCAGGCCAAGCCGGCAGGAAGAAGCCGACTCCAGGTGCCTTTACGAAGGCTGTGCCGCACTAGCTCCTCGCTAATAGCTCCTGGCAGATCCGCAACCACCGAAGCTTCTCCCCAGTTTGAGGCATCTGAGGCGAAAACTCGTCCACGGGGCAGGGCTCTCAAATCAGTGCAGGCCAACGGGAGGAGGAAGGCCAGACAAAAAAGCTCGCTCTTCAACCCACCGCTCATTTCCAGCACCTCATTCTTCTCCCGCCCAACAGTTGCTTGAAAGATCAAGTCCATCAGACAAAGCATCCTCCTCCTAAACAGGTAGAAGGAAAGAAGACTGCCACCAATTGTCTGCAGAAGGTCAACCGATGAATAACCCAGGCGAACTATGTCCAAAACCAAACTTGCAAGAGGGATAGCCCGTTTCAGCGTTCCTCGAATCAGCCCTTGTTTCCCGTCCAGATCGCAACCCCAAAAGCTGCAGGTCACCTCATCGGAAAAACTCTTGTCAGGGTGCGAAATCAGCTTAACCTCCTTATACTTTCTCTCCATTCGATCTCTCAACGAACGGGCCGGGGTCGGCAAAGGAGCACCAACATCATGAATGCTTAAGGAGATGAAGTCATCAATAATGATCCCAACCATCTCTCTCCCCCGCGGGACCGGCCCCGACAAAGTCAGCAGGTTCGAGGGACTGGCGGCCCCGGAACAGAGCGCCAGGCTGAGGTGACAGGTTTGGGCTAAGGACACGGCCTGGGCGTCCCCCATCGCCAGGGTACATAGAGCTCCAAAAAGATCTCTTTCGGCGAAAAACTCTTCTCGAAAACACTTTAGGTGACAAACATCTTTGGGGGAAACGGCACCACACAAAATGTTCCTTCTTGCACGTTCCTCTCCGACTTGAAACAAGTGGTAAAAGTCTCTCAGGTCGGACCCAGACGCTCGCAGCTCGGTCCCGGGCGGCAGGAAGAGTCGCCCCAGGGCCTCGCAGCTTCCGAGAGATCGAATCCAGCGTTTCAAGGGCCGCTCCAAGACATTCGCAGGTCGGGAGTCCATTATAAGTCTGTCCCGCTCTTCAGATTTCACCACTGCAAACATGCCGGATGCGAATCGGCCATCAACTTCTCTCGCAGGGAATAACGACAGGCGCTCACTTTTGTCCAGAAGCTCAAAGAGTCTGATCTTGTCGCCCGGTTTGCAGTGCATCCGGACTCTGGGGATGGCAAACTTCCACTCGCTGGGGTCTCTTCTCATCCTCAGAGGTTCCGCATACACGGCCGCGGACTCTTCGTCCAAATAGGGCAGAGGGTCAAAAAGCGGGAAACCGACAAACTGTAGCCGGTCAGGCTCCAGAGATTTGAAGGTGCTGTACGGAGCATGGCTGGACGTCCCAACCACGCGCCCCACATCGGCACATCTTCCATTTCCAGAGGTGGGCTCATCACAGAACCTACTATAGGTGTCTTCAGACTCGGTTCGAAGGCTTTCGGCTTGGAGTTCAAGAGCTGCTATAGCATCTTCCAAGCTTTCTATCTTCGGAGCGGCTCGCCCCATGTTTCTTGGACCAACCTCCCCTGAACATATCCATCCGTCCAAGAGATCACCAAGGCGCTTCACCATGTTCCACTGCAGTCGAGACAAAGGAGCCCCTGCCACAAGATGAGGCGGACAGCGGCTGGCGCGATTCAGGCTGAGGTAATTCAAAATGACAACAACCAGATTCACTGCCTTCTTCTTGAAAAAACTGAATTCGGTCTCGCCCGCAGTTTCTACATTTCTCTTCTTCCAGAGTGCCTCCGGGAAAGGAATAGGCATAGGAAAACCACCTCCACTGATCTCTGTCCTGGCTGCATCCAGCCTTCGTTTGAGGCTGATAGAGGATCTGGCAAAATGAGATAGCCTGCATCGTCCATCAAGGAGTCGACGGAGTCCAGCATTAAAGAAACTTCGTCCCAAATACTTGCTAGCTCGAGTGCCAGGAACATGAATTCGAGAAAAGCTCTCCCGCTCCCTAGCATGCAAACTCTGAACTCGAGAGGCCGGAGCAGGGAGTGGCCTCTGAGGAAAAGAACTCAACTTTCTGTCTCTCCCCCTGGGTGGGGCTGACTCTTGGCCTTCGCTCCACCTTTTGGGGTTCCCTTCGGCTTTCCCCCTTTCTCTCTCTTGCCGCCCTTGTCGTCGCTCCTGTCCTTCTCGCTCTCCTCTCGCCGCCCCCCCTTTTCCGCTCAGCCTCCTCTTCGCTTCGAGATAGGAGTCTTGTTCTTTCACGTGGTGTAAGAAGATCTCTACCCACGATGACTCCAGCAGCGAAGTGTGCTGACTTTCTTGGGGCCCAGGTGAAGTGTGAGAGGAAAAGGACTGCAGGGGAGGCGGCGCCTCCAACAGCATAGTTTGAGCCAGAATCCAGCTTCCTCCGTCGATTGCTGACTGGTCTGCAGCTGCAACGGCCAAAGCGCACCGCGCCCGAGCCTGGTCGACATCGCCCCGAATCAGGGCGTCCCAGACACCAGCCATGGTCCGGCTCCATCTGACATGAGAAGCAAAACTCTGGATGCGTGACCGATGCTCTAGCCATCCACGAGCCGTGATGTGGCCCGAACTCTCTCCGGGCTTCACAGGCTGGGAACCATAGTCCATAAGCATGTTGCTCTCGATGCTCTTGTAAATCATGCTGGGATTCTCCACCAGTCTCTTCTTCAAGAGCCGAAGAGCGGCTCCCTTCTTCGAGGCGACAGATCCAGACCCTTCGCCTTCCAGAGATCCTCCTCCAATGTCCAGCAATTGCTCCAGGGGGTCCCTCCTCCGCTTGCTCTGAGCTAGATGGCTGCACACCTTGGTCAACTTCACAATTGCTTTTGCTACTGAAGTGTCCGAGGACGAACCGGGACGAGAACCACCTTCTAATTCCTCTTCCACCTCCTCCGGTTCTTCCTCCTCCGTCTCTGAAAGGGCGCCCTCGGTGTTCTTGGCAGGGCGCCGAGGAAGGTCTTCCATCTTGCCAGGACTCTTGCTGAGGATGTCGGCCATCTCTTGCAGGTGCGCCTCTGGAACGCCGGCCCCAAGAGCAGCATCGACTACCGCTCCATCGAGGCCTCGAAAATTTACTCTTCTCACACGCTCGGGAGTCCGAAGGGCCGGAGCCCGGCCAGGAGTTGAAGGAGCACGGTCTTTCATTTCTTTCAAACTTCCCCTCACCACGGAGGTGAGAGAGGAAAGGGACTTCTGCAACTCGGCCATACCATCTTCCAGCCTCGCAATCCGACCCGCGTCTCCTCCGCCAGCAGCTCTTTCTCCTCTGCTGGCTGAGGCGGCGCCACCGCCCCCACTTTCTGCAGTGACGAACTGATATCGCTCGGCCGAAACCTCGACCAAGCTCTCGGCATAAGGGATAAAAGCCTCTCCTGAATCTGAAACAAAAGGGTAGTCCGCCTCGAACTCGGCGGGAAAAGAAAACTCCAGGCTGGGCTCCAATTCGTTGAGAAAACCAACCCAAATCCTCTGACTGAATTCTTCTTCCAGGGGCTCTTCTCTGGCCTCTGGATGGCATGCAAAAACGGAACATAGCAGCGGCTTGCTGAGTGCCTTCGGAGGAAGGGCTCGATCAGCCACTTTGCGGGCCCAGCTTTCAAATGGGACAGCGACAAGAAGTTGCCCCCCCTGCACAGCGATGGCTATCACCGAGCTGAAGGAGAAACCGTCGATAAGGCCAAGCCTGCCGACTTCGTAGTGTAGATTCGTATGCCCGTCAGAGAAGACGAGCGGCACTGCCTCTGCCGCCTCAGAATGCTCAGGGACGGCAGCAATCTCTTCGTCTGTCACCTCAGGCATCAGGGATGACCTCAGGGATCACGAAATGTCCTGCCTTCAAGGTGCAAAGGACTTCTCGCTTTGAGGGCAACCCGACAAAGATCGATGTGCCTGCTTCTCCGTGAGGGATGCGCAGACTCTTCACTTCACTGAACCCGCTGACCACCTTCGGGGGATCGTAGAGAACACCAGCAAAGTCGCGAACGATCACGTAAAAGCGACTAGCCTGCTTGATTTTCTGCCTTCCAGAATATCCTCTATAATCCTCACCAAGGGACCTCCGCAAGAAATACCCGATGTCCTTGCAGATGCGCTCACGCTCCTCCCAAGTCTGGCCGCCTTCCGCAGCAATCTCAATTCCCCCTGATCCAGCCGAGGCACTATTGGATCCTAAGCCGGACTCTGGATACCCGCGAGAAACGGGAACCTTAGCTGTCTCTTCCCTGAGTTCTTCCTGCAAGCTGCTAACCTCAGTGAACCCTTCTAACTGGATCTCCAAGGCACGAACTCTGGAGGTGAGGGACTTGATCTCACTTCGGGCTTCTTTCAACTCGGCCAAGGCACTCCGAATGGTCTCTTGCAATCCCTCAATCATGCAAGACACGATGCAAAGGACGAGGGCTGCGATACGCGGCCAAGGAGAGTGCAATCCAACGGGTCCAGCGGAGTCGAACCAAAATGAGAATGTCCAAAACAGGCCAGATTGCTAGCCCACAAATCAACCCGAACAGAAATGTCCAGAACCAAATCTCACCAACAATCTCAACCCCAGAGCAATCGCAGGACAAAGGTTGCAAAAGTAGGTCCTCGGGAGAGCTCAACTGTTGCAGCAGCGAAACAGCAAGAGTCGTGAGTGATCCTCCGGCAGCGCCTAGTGCTAACCGCCCGGGCATACACTTTGATTGGAAGCTGCGGGCCGGCGAGTGATTATGCAAACATATGGTGGTTGATCAATATTCTTTCATCCTGGAATGGCCATTCATCGCGGAAAAAAAGATATCTTTCGCGGATCTTTCGCGGCCTCATCGCGAAGCATGGTCCTACAACCATGTCTAGCCAACATGAGCCGGAACATGTCATAGTATCACAAAATAGGGAGAGACATCTTGCAGCATGACCCCAGTAGATGGTTGAACGTTTCCACAGCTACTCAGGGTCACTTGCAGCATCTGCTCGACAATTGTGCCAAATAGAGTCAGGCACAACTCAACCCAATCCTCGTGCCAGCTACCAACACAGGGTGATACAGCTTGGGGAATGTTGGGGGGCCTCAAGCTGGGAACCTAGACTTTAGCGGCACATTCGCGAAACTTTCGCGGATCTTTCGCGAAATTTCACTGGTGCTTTCCCCGGGAAGCCGTAACATTTGCAAACATCTGCGCAGCCCGTCAGAGCAGCTGCAGGTCGTTGCCTCACTGTCAGGGCTGTGCCCACCCAGATTGCTAGCCTGTGACAGTGGGGACAGGAATCGGAGAATCCTTTACGCACTGCCAGGGCTCGGCACGGAAATGTTGAGGCTTCAGTTCGTTAGTCTGTGACATATGGGGACACTTCCGCCCACTGGCTCTGCCGGAGGATTGCCTCGCGTTTCTATTCTTTATCAGTCCGGTAGAAAGGAAAACAATGAAAGCGATGACCTTCGATAAATCTTTCGCGGAAAAAAAAAGATACTTTCGCGAACCTCATCGCGAATCTTTCGCGGATGGTTCTAACAACATCTGAAAGGCTGTTTTATATAAAACTCCTTACACGGGGTTTTCGATCAACTCCCATATATTATTAGATAGAGAGAGAGAGACATACAAAATCATACAAATATCATCAAGTATCCCTCATCGTCTTCACGTGTGTTCAACATCAAGAAAGAGCCTGACTAGGTCGTGTAAAGGTGTATGAATGCTGAACGACATGATACAAAGGACGCTGCTCCAACTTCAAGAAGACACCATGTTTTGGGCGTCCATCAGGATAGAACCTAGGAGTGAGTAGTCAATCAAGGGAACAAAAACTGAACTCTACTGTAACAACTGCAATCACAGAGCTAGAGTATACATCTTCTTGAAATCTCAGGCATTCGCACATCCTTCGGGTTCCAAAAGTCTCCATCAATGGCATTTGAGCTGCACCTTGGGTCTGGTTCAGGCTTTCGGTCCAGCTTTTTTGTCAGTCAAGTCCATTCCTGATGAGCAGGACCATCAAAGTCTACCCGACAAAAAGCTGGATGCCAAACCCAACAGGTTATTTGCTGATCGTTGAAGCAAAATTACAATCTTGGGAACTTGCAATTCAGAATTGTGAAAGAACTTCTCTAGAAGCGCTGCGCACCTTGGCAAGGTTGGCGCGAGACTGAGACCCAACGGAAAGTGCCAACGTTGGGCCGATGCTCAGCTTCCGTGCTGCACTTCTCTCTTCTCCAACACAGCCAATGCACAGCCGTTCTGGGGGTAAGACCATGGGTCCCAAGTAGTAGTTGCTACACACTCAGGTCGAGTGGAGGTCTCCTCTTGAAACATCACGTCGACCTTGTCACAGCGAACTGCAAACTTTCCATGCAACGTTACACTTACACAGTGTCATACAGTGTCACTGTTGATGAGCTTCTTGCGCGCAGAAGTGTGAAAGGGTCCGTGAAGTTGACGAAGATGTCCTCACCTTCGCAAGAAGGGAACCAAGGAAACAAAAGGGATGCAAAATGGTACATCTGAGGAACCTCTTACATACTTCAGCTGATGCGTTTGATCTACAGGACGTTTGAAGTTAGGGAACCTGACTGGTACAGTACCAATAGAAGTCGCTACAACTACGTGTATGATGAAATCTAGGAACGTGCAATGCTCTTTTTACGTAAATGCCAAGCCGCCATCGAATTTCTGGGGCACATGGTTGTCGCCTCAGCAACTGATGCGTCTATATACATGTGACACAAAGCATATCAAGTCAGGAGTGTTTGCTTGTTCCATCCTTAATACGGCCTACGTTTCAACAATGTTCGCTTCACAAAGCACAAGCAGGGGCGGTTCAACTCGATGCCTCCCCATCGAACAGCATGGCTCCGTGTGAGAGAAACATCATGCGGAGTGTCAGGACCTTGGCAAATCAAAGCTTACTTGGACAAAACAAGGCTGCCTCAAGCAAAGCATCCTCAGTCTGCTGGCAGTAGAACTTGAGAAACAAGTGCCCGTCATCCATGCCCATATTGAGCATTTCAGAAATGAATCCTTCGGGCAGTGGATATCGTGGCTTGTTTGCCCTACATGTCCAAACAAATCCCGACAAAACCTTCGTCTATTTCGATGTCGGCCACAAGGAGGACCAGCTGCGACCACACACCTGTTGTATGATTCAAACGCCCTCAAATTGGAAATCAACCGGAGAAGGAATGACAAGGAACAATAGGTAATATTTGTCAATTTGTCCAATTTGAGCGCCTGAACCGGCACTTCTTCCAAACCACCACTCTTGCCTTGGTTTGTGTGGAAGGAAGGTGGAAGGATGGGTGCAACTTGAAGTATCAAAAGATTTGCGGCAAAAGGCCACTGAAAAAACTGGAACTTCACGGCGTGTGTCAGGATATCTCCTGGCATATAGTGGCAGGTCCATGCTTAGCTACCTCAGCTACCTTCAAGTAAGTTTCTTCGCACCTATCCCAGGCATTTCGCAAAGGACCATGAAGATTGCAGTGGGTACCAACCTCGCAACAGGAATCACATCACAGCAAATCAAATCTCCTGGTTGAAACTGTCTTTGCCGGGCTTATGGCCAATGACTCGTCACCTAAAACGTTCCTCCCTTCCGTATGTTTGAGAAGCTGACGTCAAAGACAAAAGCTGGGCAAAGCCAGCACTAGCCAGAAGCACAACCAAATCCCAAGCAAGTCCCAGTGACCTAAGCCATTGGTAAGATCTGCGAACCTTTCACAAACACAATCTTTTAGGTGCTGGCGGATTTGTCATTTGCCGGAAGTCAGACGCGCCAACCTTGACTTGCTCAGGGAGGACCACTCAGCCAACTTATTGACCAGTGCAAATTCACTGTATGTACATATGTTCACGGGACCTCCTTGTATAATATAGCGACCTCCTTTCCGTGCAACTGAAAAGTAAAGCAAACCCCTCACCTTCCCAGGCTTGCTAGTATTTAAAGTTCACAAAACGTAAAAATACTTATCCTCCTCCTTCCTCCCGCCTCAACTCACTCAACTCACTCACTCAACTCACCCAACTCACTCACTCAACTCACTCACTCAACTCAGTGGCTCAACTCACTCACTCAACTCACTCACTCACTCACTCACTGACTGACTGACTGACTGACTCACTCACTCACTCACTCACTCACTGACTCGCTCACTCACTCACTCACTCACCCAACTGACTCACTCACTGACTCGCTCACTCACTCACTCACTCACCCAACTGACTCACTCAACTCACTCACTCACTCAACTCAGTGGCTCAACTCACTCGCCCAACTCACTGACTGACTGACTGACTGACTCACTCACTCACTCACTCACTCACTCACTCAACTCTCGCTCAACTCACTCAACTCACTCACTCAACTCACTCACTCACTCCCTCACTCACGCAACTCACTCACTCACTCACTGGCACGAGTCCTGAACATCAAGGGTCTTATGCACAGTCATCTCTGTCTGATGTTTGTTCATTACCGCGAATTGTCTTTTGGATGGTTGCTTGAGGACTTGAGGACCATTGGAGTTTGGCAGCGGACATGTCTTGCACTTGATCTTGAACTTGTCAGGTTTGCACCTTCAGGCTGGGCAACCGAGGCTTTGCATCGTATCTCGTTTCCTTTTGAAGGGTTTCAAAGAGTTGAAAGGTTGAAAGAATGAAAGGTTGAAAGAAAGAAAGAAAGAAAGAACGATTCAAGGTTGTCAGGAAAAGCTGGCAAGGTTTGATGTGAAGCTGGGGAAGGGTTGAAGGGAAGCAAGAAAGGGTTTGAAGAGCAGCGACAAGGGTTTCGAGATCAGCGACCAAGGGCTGTAAGTCTAGATCAAGGGTTTGCAATGGCATTGCAAGTTCAGCTTTGTGTCTCGCAGTTGCATTGCATCGCAGGTTTAGCATCTTGGATGTTTCTTGCGTTTTCTTGCGCAGTTGCATTTCACTTTGCACGCTTTCAGGTATTATGGATAGATACTTACTTGCATTGCACGGTAACCCTAGTTCACCTTTTTGCTTCCTGAGCTCACTCAACTCACTCGCCCAAGGGGCTCTCCGCCGCTGTGCCGGTGTGAATAGCGTGGCAGGCGCAGCACTGGCGCAGCACTTGCGCAGCACTTGGTGCTCTCCAGAGGGTCGGATGTACGCCCTGGCGTCGCCCTGGCTCGTGGGTCTCTGCCGCACTTGGTGCTCTCCAGGGGGTCGGACGTACGCCCTGGCGTCGCCCTGGTGCTCGTGGTTCTCCGCCGCTCCCCCGTTGTGAATCGCGCGGCAAGCACAGCGCTTGGCAATGGTGCTCAGGCGCATCACTTGGTGCTCTCCAAGGGGTTGGACGTACGGCCTGGCGTCCGCTCTGCCGGTGTGATTTGCGTGGCAGGCGCGGTACTTGGCGTCGGACGCACGCCCTGCACCACCACCACCAACCACCAACTCACTCACTAAACTCACTCGCCCAACTCACTCACTCACTCCACTCCACTCCACTCCACTCGGATCAGGGCCTCAAAGAAGGCTGGCTTGTTGGTCATCTCCTCTTTGACCAGGCGTTGCCAAGTAATGATGTCATTGACCAGCACCTTGAAGACCCCGTCTCGCTATTCCCCATAAACATCAGAGGCTGTTTGCGCCTCAGTGTGGAGGCTGGGGCGTTGGTTGGTGAAGGAACCGGCTCCCAGCATTGACAGTCATTCTGGCCGTTGCTGCGCCATCTTCCTCTCATATTCTTCATCTTTTGCTTCTCTTGTCCTGCGCTTCTCGCTGTTGCCTCGGTCTGCAAGTCCAGAACCGGGGTGATCTCTGGAACACTTTCTTCATCTTCCTTTGTCTTCTTTGTCTTTTTTCCTTCTTGCGGGGGCTGCCATGGCGCAGGTAATCTTCCTTTCTTCTCTTGTACTTTTGTGTGGTTCTGATGGTCTTCGTACCTTGGAACGTTCAAGAGATCACTTTCGCTATGCTCTTTGGCCCCCCACCTGGCTTGGGCTTTTGGGAGATCATGCCCTTCCCATCCGACAGCTTCCCGCGTCATTTCTTCTGCTTCTTCTTGAGGCGGCGCAAGTTGGTTGAGGTCTTCATACTTCTTTTCTCCTCCTTGCCAACTTGATTGAAAATCTTCAACCTCTTCGACTCTCTTGCCATAGTCGGCACCTTCAAGCCTTGAGGCAGCTCTCATACTGGCTGCAGAGACCAAGAGACAGCGGCCTCTCCAACTCCTTCACAATGACCAAAGCTGTCCTCGCCAAAAGCCAGGTTCCCTATCCTTCACAATGACCAAAGCTGTCCTCGCCAAAAGCCAGGTTCCCTTTTGAACCAAGTCTGCAGGGGCTTGGCGGCGTAAAAGTAGACCAGCTCACCTGGTTCAAAGTCACGAGCGCCTTCAAGTCGAGCGCGCTTCCGTAGGAAAGCTGCACCTCCAGGGATCCTCAAACCATATTGGTACATGTTAGTGATGGCTGCGGTACGTCCGTCAAAAGCTTCGATGATGAGCGGCTCCTTCCACGCCAACGAAGGTTTGGGGTTCTCCCCCATCAACAGGCCGCCTCTTCTTCTTTGATCATCGCTGGCTCCTCTCACAAAGCCCAGCAAGGTCCCCTGCTCCTGCCGCCTTTCCTCCAAACGGCCATGCCATGATCATTGTGAGGATCCACTTGCTCCAAGTACGAGAGAGCATCCTCTCTGTCCGCCTCCTGAGGATGTCCCAATAGGGCAGTGAGATAGGCTCCAAAGATGATCAGCCACGCTGGCCACTGGCCATGATGGAATGGCACACGTCCATGCTCTTCTTTCTTGTCTTCTACCTCCTTCCCCGGTGGAGTAGGGGTAACCTCCTTCTTTCTTTCATCTCTATTCTCAAGCTTCTTGTATCCTGGTGTAAAAATTCCCACATCTTCTGGAGGCGCTGGCTCATAGCTGAAGATTGCGATTGAAGAACTGACTGCATCACCATCAAAGAACTGCTCATCAAGGCTCTCATGATACTCAGGCATTAGCCATCGACCTCGTCTTTTCACAAAAGTGGTTCTCATCAACCCTGGTGACTCTTCCCCTTCTCAATGAATGTGAGATCAACAAATCTTCAAGTCAATAAGCTTCCAACTAGCATTGAATCCCCAACCTGCTGCCTTTTTCAAAGCTTCAGGTACTTGTGCCTCCAAGCAGCTTTCATCTCCATCTCTAATGACTCTAATGCGGCCTTGAACTGTCAAAGACTGATTTTGCAAGTTGAGCGGTACCTTTAAGTCACCCTTCTTCAAGGTTTGCTCTCGACCATTAAAGGATCTCCACTATCGTCCATGGGCGCTTCCTCTTTGCGCCTTTCTTGGGCCCTTCAACGCGCATTCCTTTACGCACCTTCTTCCTGTTTCTTTCCTGAAGGCATTGCCCATTGCCCTGCAGCCGGCCACGCAAGCTCTTGTGTTTTGCCACAAACGCTCCACGCGCGGCCCGTCCCCTCTTTCTGACTCCGTGTCTGTGACCAGATCAATCCCTTTTTCATGGGACGTGGAGGATTCACGCTCTTCCGCGTCATCGGACTCTTGTTCTTCTTCTCCTTCTTCTTCTTCCTTCTTCAGCTGCTGCTTCAGTCGGCACCCCCGGGCACCATGGTTAGCTCTTCGAGGTGCGCCATCCACTCTTTTACCTTCTTCCTTCTCATCCTCCTCTTCTTCTTCACTTTCCTTCTCGTCACTAGCATCTTCATCACTTCGCGGTCCAGGGCATATATACGCCTGATGAAGCATCTGTTTCTTCTTCTTTTCTTCTTGTCCTCCTTTGAGTTCCAGAACTGCTGCATCTGATGGGTAGCCTCCGTCTCGAAGTCGACCAACTCAATGCCTGGTAACAAGTCCCGGTGAGCTGCATCTCCTTCTTGAATTCAATTCCATGCTCTTGCGCTTGAAATGGAACTCGGCGTTCCAACGACTCAGCTCGGCAGGTCCAATGAGACCAGGACAGTTGCTGCCTCCTTGCTTTAACATTGCAGGGTAGAAGCATGCTGTAGAACTTGCGATCGGTGCACCAGCTCCAAACTACCTCCTCTCAAGGAACGCCGCGCATCGTCAGAGCACGTTGGCGCTGTTCGCGCCACGCAGAGTTCCGACAGCCTGAGTCTGCGATGGCCAAGCCAGGTTTCTGCGCCTGGATGAAGAAAACATTTAATGGGTAGGCTCATACCAAAACTCACTCACCAACAAACGAGGTCGAGGTGGTCCATCCAATGAGCTCTTCCATCATCTCTTCACCAGTCAGGTTCTTGACCTCGGGACATCCTTGCTGATGCGGCAAATCACTTCCGGCGGTTGACCAATAGACTCGATAGACAACATGCTTCAGGTCACATCGACAACATCCTGCAATTCATCTATCTCTCCCTCTCTCTGGGGCCTCGTCGTTCTCTACTCATCTTCGTGGATCTTGGCGCACCGGATCCGAAGCGCTTTCTCGATGCCCGTGGAGTCACAGCAAGCGCCAGCGCTATAGTAGACATCGAAGCGCTCCTTCCGGCTCAGGGGGGCCTTGCGAAGCAACTTTTGAGCCCAGGCACGATCAGACAGCTTGGTGCCAGGGTCCACTCTGCTGCATGAGCTCGAAGCCGTCGCATCTCAGCAAGATAGTGGAAGACACTCTCGCTAGGGGCTCTCCCTCCACCTCTGCGCTTCGCCAAAAGCTCGTCCAAGACTCCAAGACTTGCCAAAACAGACGAAGGCCACCAGCTCCTGGGTAGGACGTCACAGGATGCTGTTCAACAACATCCTGGCCTCCTCCTTGGTGCGCAAGTAGACCAGCGTGGCGAGCTCTTGAGGTTCCAATACATAGAGGCATTGTTGCGCTCACTTCACATCCAGAAGTCCTCGACGCGAACCGATCCCAAAGAACTCTTTGGCCTGGATCCTTCTTGAGCCGTTGACGAAGCATTGAACGGCTCTCTGAAATGGGCGCCGAGGGCGCCGCTTCATCAGGCTCTTCGTCACCTGTCAGGAGGATCAGGGCCATGACCACTTCCCCTGGCACTGGCGTTGGCAGGCAGCTGACATAGGCATCACGCGCATGGTGACGAAAAGGTAGACCATGGCACAGTCATGGGTATGGGATGGGTATTCCATGAGGAATGGGGCCAACTCCAAACCCATGTCCAACATCCACCATGACTTGCATCATCCCTGCAAGTTGCCATGTCTGAGTGGCTGGCTGGAGACCCAGGGGTGATGGCTGTGTTTAACTGGACCCTGGACTCGAGCGCGTTATTGGCTGTTGGGCGCTGGTCACTTCCAGCATCCGCAGCTTGTGATGCCCAAGGATCACTTGCTAGGGATTGCCAAGGGTCCGCTGTCTCCGTAGGCAGCGCCACAGCACCCCACCACGGCACCTATTCGCGACAATGTTCTTGAACCGCCCTCTAGCTCCGCTACCAATGTGGGTGACGGCGCGGTCAGCTCCGACAAAACCGAGATATCCCCGAAAAAGCGGCAAAAGGGAGAACCGGTTCACGTCGACCGCCAGAAAAACAAGCAAGCACAGCGCAGTGAGCTGTTTTGCAAGCTGAACTTGCGCATCCGGACGTCTGCAAAAGCGGCAGTGAAATCAACTCCAAGCCATGCAACCACATGCCCAGCTCTCATCACACCAATAACAACTTCTTCCACGCCGAACTTGTGAAGGGTTGCCACGGAAGGGGACACAGCGCCAAACCCATTGCCGCACTGGGAAGTGGGCAGGGTAGGCAGAAAGTGAAGAGATGTTAACACGCCAGCGCGCGCACAAGGCTTGAAAATAGGAGAGGAGATGGGCACCGCACTAAGGGGACTAAGGGAGGGAAGGACAACGAGAAGTAAGGTGACAAGAAAGCCTCTCTAGTTGCGATGGTGGAGGATGTCCTGGAAATATGTTTCCCTGTCCATACTTTCTTTGCTCGCGCCCTCCGATACCTTCTTTGCTCGCGCCCTCCGATACTCGGAAGGCAGGCTGCGCAAAAAACAGTCTGTAGGACGAATGGATCTTTGCAAGAAGGATCAACAAGGGTAAAGAAGTAGGGCAACGCACCGGGGAAAGGTAGTAAAAAATGTGGTATGTGTTGTTGCAGCGATTGCGCACCCATGATACCATTGTTAACTTAGGCGCTCTATGTAGTTGCTGCTCTGCTCTACGTTGCTCTACCTGCGCGACTAGTCTAGTCTACCTTACCCGTACTCTAGTCTTTGACATATTCATTTCAAAATCAAGTTGCGCAATACATCGCAATACAATGGTTTCCGCTTAGGGCCAAAACATGCACAGCCAACCAGGACTGTTATATAATGTTATGTATATTGTTTGTCAACCTTTGATCACTTCTACCTTATCTTGCAATGATCTACGCGCCCTACCCTGCGCTAGTTCTCCTGTTTGTATTCCACCTTGCTATACTACATTCTTAGTTTTTGCGTTATCTGTCTCAAACTCAAGTAGCATGTTTGGTAGAATACTGAGAAATTCTTGATCAGAGTAGAGGACAGGAGTTTGGGCGAGCTGAGCTTGCAAACGGCATGGAGAGTGTGGAGTAGTAGGCAAGGTGTTGACCGTCAGAAAACAAAACTCTTTCTATACACCTTAAATTGAAAAGAGCTCTGGAGCAAATGTGCCCACTCCTACTTTCGTGCCCTCTGCCAACATATCGCCCTCCACTGTAGAATATACTATGGCCTCTTTCCTTGGGACTTCAGGTTTCATACTCTTTATCATTAACCTGGATACTATACACAAGGGCGAAGTAGGGTAGAGTTGACTGGCATCGAGTAGATAGAGCGGAGAAGAGGTAGTTATATTATACGTAAAGGTCTCAATCACATACATATAATTTATACACATATGTATACGCCACAAATTACATACAGTAAATAAAATCGTTCCTTTTGAATTAGCCTTGAGTCTTGAGTCTTGCGTGTGGACTCCTGGGAAGTCAAGCCCATCCACAAGCACTTCCAGCTGCGCCAGCTGCCGCGCAACAAAGCGCACTTATTGCAACTTTCTGCCCCTGGCGCGGCATATCAATTTGTTATGCCATGAAACACGGCGAAATGTGTAACTTACATGACCTGGAACAAACCAAAGCCAAATGTCAAGCTAAGCTGCGAACGCAGAAACTATTTCCAAGAAACTTGAGTTGCACGCTGAAGCAAGCTCTCAGAAAATGCAAGCAACACCAGAACCAAACACCAGCCTGAAAGGAATGTCTTGTCAAGTTAGTAGCTTGTTGGGGATCCGTTGGAACCATTCCGCTTCATTTGAAGAAAATCTGGCTTGCATTAGATGCGTCAGACGACGCTCAATCTCAAACAGTTGCAGCGCTCAACGCGCAGCAAACCAGGGGTGCGCGCATATATACAGTCTATGTTTTATATATGTATGTACGCATATGTGGCTCAAACCCTTGAGGTCGCAAGCCGGCCCCATACAAAACCGGGTACAGGTCAGTTGGCCATTGAAGCCTAGTCTCTGAATCTCGAACTGATCTTCCTTGCATGGTCCAGTCGATCTTCTGCGTCACGGACACTGGCATCACCACCTTTGAGGGCCGTTTGCCGGCTGGGTCCACCATGTACAATCTTGTGAGAGGGTGAAGCAGGGATCTGCCCAGGCCTTCCTAGCAAGCAGGACAAGACCCACGTTGCCGTCTTTGATCACACGACATGGGCCTTGTGGAAACCGCATGAAGCCTATGACAAATTCCCTGAGCTCCACACGGGATTGGACTTTGAAGACTTTTGATCAAGTCTGGCCACTTCTCTTCTCCACCAAAGAGTTGGTCAACAATGAGCTGTGGCGAACTCTCCAACGTGACACCCAGGCCAGAGCTAGTCAAGCCGACTGACATCTTGGACCTGCAGGCCAACATTGGTGGTGTACCAAGCAGATCCTGGGGGAGCGAATGAGCCTTCGACGGACAATACTCACTTCATCCACAAGGCTGCTGACGGGGAAGGTGCCTCTCATCCAGCAAGAATGCACTGGCCTATCCCTTCCGGAGTGGGGTGGAGTGTGGTCACTGAAAGCTCCGTTTTCACTCCAAGAGCATGGTGGCTGAACTTCGAGAGCTCCTGGATCAACCGTGTGTGGCCATACCCAACCCGGCCAAGGCCAGGAAGACCCGAATGGAGATCATTCATGACCTCCTGGAGGCCCAAGCCCAGGCTCAGCCTGGCGTCCACTTCCTCAAGCTGGATCGGGCATACCTTGGCCCGCACCAAAGAAAGCTTCGCACAGTTCATGGGTGAAGCTAGAGCCAAGCCTTTGGCAAGGCCATGTCACGCACATGATGGTGCGCATGTCCAAGAATGTGGAAATGCACTCGCTGCAAGGCCCCGGCCAAGATCATTGAAGACAGGGTGCAGTTGACACCGAGGTTGAGGGGACGTTGCACTTCAACCAAGTCAAAGGACTTGAGAGACATGTTCCGCTAGCACCTTCTTGCACTTCCAGAAAAGGTGTGCCACCCCCAAAAAGGGTACACATATGTTATGTGATGTGTACATACATATGTGTTACAGTATTACGTATATGTATATGATACTGTACATATGATTGACATCCATGCTTGCAACTGTTACGGTACATGTCCATGTGCCTTGTCGTCTCTTCTACTCCGTTTCAGGATTCGTCAGGAATGCTATTTACTTATTTCTGACATCGTTGCATCCTTATAGCACTGCAAATCAGGTGACTGGCTAACATTCCAAAAACCCAAATCAATACAAGTTGAAAGAGTTGCATTCATTGAACAGTGCATCAAGTCAAACTAGTATTCCCATTGAACCACAACATGTTACAGAGAGTTTCCCTGAACATCTTGTACAGCTTGCAACCAGCTTTAGGAAGGCCCAGGAAGGCCTTGTCGGCTGCCCAATTCTTAAAGTACGCGATAAGGCAGTAGGCAAAAACAACAGTGATAGCCTGCCAACTTTCTTCATTCAACTCAAGGAATTCTGGGAAAACAGCCCTATGCGCTTGTGAAACCACACACTCGTCCATGAAAAAGCGGCCTCACTTGCACAAAATGCTGCTGCAAATGCGGTGGCCAGCTGATGATGTAAACGGCTCACATCTGCCAGAGCCTGACTTTGACGCTTGAGTTGCGTCTTTGTCTTTCTTTCCTATCAAGAAATGCACTCTTCATCTGTGAATGGGCCACGGCATTGGCGCTGCCGGCTCCATGGCGCCACAAGTTGTGTACTGTAATACGGAAGAGGGGAACAGCCATCAACGCACCTTGGTCGGCTGCAAAACAAGAACTCACGGTGAAGGCTCAGAACAATTTAGGGATCCAGCCCAAAAGACCTGTAAGAAATGGAATTGCCTCGATTACACAAGCTTCCAGGAAATTCAATCTTCAATATATGCATTCATCACTTGCACCAGTGTCAATCCTCCCATGAAGCTCTATCTTCAAAGCACAGAAAACGGCTTACATTCTGAGTTTACATCTGCAGGCCAACCGATAAGCTTTCTGCCATCGCAACCGCGCAAGCTTTGATAGGCAAACTCCGAAGTCCCTGGCCAGAATCCGTGAAATCACAATGCCCCGACAGCCGACCTGGCCAATGCCTGGGCTATATATGGGTCGAAATCACGGCTTTGTGTGTAACTGTCGCTGACCTTCACAAAACAAGTGCAGAATCCGTGGCAGTGACGTAAGAGGCAATCACTGCATAGCAAGGGTGGCTCAGGATCTAACCCACCAAGCTGCTCGCAGCGTTGCGAAAGTCCCTTGCACCCAGCAGGCCAAAGCGATGATGTAGACCTTGTTGGGTTGCGCCCCCTTCTGCAAGTCTTGCTTGCGAGATCCCGAATAACTAAATAACCATGAATCTGGAAAAACATATATATATATATACTGTAATGAGAAAAAGCAAGCAAACCCAGTATTCTGCCTACTCGGTCCAATTATTTTCGGCGGAACAAGCGGTCTTTGGTTGAGCCAGTCGCAGCACGGAGCAAACCATGGCTGGTTGAGACCAACGCGTTCAATCTCGCCCAAATGGCAAGAGACCACGGCCCTTGATTGCCAAACACGGACGAATGATTCATCTCAGCAGTTGTCCGCATCATTTTGCTAGAGTGGTTTGCTCGCTGAAAGTAGAACACGACCGCTCACATTATTCTCGTCAACGCGTCTACTCTAAATCAGGAAGGGCATCCAAGTCCAACTGGGGTTTCAATCCGGCAGTAGCTCAGTTGCCAAAGCAATCTTACGCTACATTCGCTGGGTCGCGGCAAAACCCTTGACAACCTCGCAGACTGCTTTCACGAAAGCAATAAAACTCATCATTGGGATCTGTCTACGCAAGTCCGCTGGGTCGAAGTGGAGGCTGACTTTCTCTGTGGAAACACATCCAATCATCCTTATTGATATGCACAAGTGTTCTTGCTTGGTCTGTGAGATGCACTTGGTGAGTGAGCTGCACATGTCACAACCAGCCCTATGTATATACAAAAACAGGCACTTCCCAACGCCATGACAGGTACATTCTATTGCGTAATGTCTTTCTTGACAGAGGCAACAGGCATGCGGAAATGAGACCCGATGCACAGCTTACGCAAGGTGAATGCCTCACAACTTACGCAACCTTACGGTGCTCAGGGTGTTGAATGGTTTCGCGCACTTCTCAGCTTCAACGATCTGACAACGAGTTCACCTTGAGAGGGTTTGGGCGGTGCTCAGCTGTCACACCCAAGCAGCGCGCCCTGCAACACTACAGAACTTACGCCAAGCCTGCGCGTTGACCAGAGCACCCTGCAAAGGACAAGGCGGCCCCCGCAAGGTTCTTGCTTCCTGGACTCAGTCCAACCGAAACACGCATTGGTCCTGCTCTCCTTGCTGTGGTTTCGGATGCCCGCAATTTGGTTTTCTCCAGAAATTTGGGTGCTCGGCAGTCAGTTAGTTGCAGTTTTTTTGTCCTGGTCTACTGATGCGCTTTCCAAACTATACAGTTACAAATGCTACCTTGCTTCTGGCAAAGGCGATCAGCGACCCGAACACAGCCAAATCAAGATGCTCGTAAATCAAGCTACGAACCCACCATGAAACAAAATATCTCCGAAGGAACTGATTGAGTCAACGACCCATGATGGCAGGCTGATCGATTGCACCTCAAATTCTGCTCCAGGACCCCATGGGCCGCACTCGACACTTGACGCAACCGGGCAGTTCAAAACAAAAACAATCAGTGTTCAAATGTGTTCGGTGTACTTGCTATATTTTTTAAAACACTCACCAGCGAATACTGTTGTTGGAAAAAATGAGCGCGCCATCAAACTACTTCAGTAAAAACTGAGTCACAGGTGTTGTTCTTATATCTGTTTTCATTGATCTTAACATACACACATGTTACATATATATATAGACGGTTTTTGTTTGTGTATATAGACCTATGCGTGCACGATGATGTGTATGCAAACTCCGCCAGGTTCGCTTGAAACAGTAAACATTTTTTCACTCACCCGCTTCAAGCAGCGAGAGTTTCTGCCCACTGTGCGTAAATCTTTTGTCTATGCTCATTGACATCCTTACAAGAAGTCAAAGGCCATCACTGGCACATACAGCGAAATTAGTGGAAAAACATACTCCTAAGTAAACAAATCTTACCAGGCGGGTTTTCAAAGACACATGCGCACGCAAGACGGCACAAGTGGAAGCATCTTGCCCGCCCCCCAAAAAACAGAGACATTGAGATACACATGCGTGCTCACCCCTCCCGCAAAACCCCCTTAAGACACACATCAGGGCGCGAGATGATTTAAAAAGATGCGCACGGAAAAACACACAACAAACCTTCGGGGCAAAAAGGGTCACTTCCGAAATCAAAATTCCCTGCGGTATGAGTAAAAGCGTGCGTTTGTCGTGCAAAAAAACGCAAAGCAACATTGCAATAGCATGTGAAACACAAATGAAAATAGACATGGGTCTGTATCAAAATATGGAGCCCAGCTCAAGATCTTTGGATAGGTGGTATGATTCGGGTATGATTTGGGGCATGATTCGGGGTATGATTCGGGGCACGATTTGCCTCTAAACGCTTGTCTGTTGGTGTACGCGCCTGAACATAGAGCGCGTGCATCTTTTCGCAAGCGCCACTTATCATGGCTCTTACATCACACAACCAGAACCATGTAGTTGCCAAGGCTTCACCAGGTTGAAGTGAGCACCGCACACCGCACACGTTTTTAATTGTCACTGTCACTGCTTGAAGAATTTGAGCTGGAGCCTCACAGCTGATCACCACGACGTACCTGCTTGGGCTTCCAATTACACTCCAGTCTAAATCTAAATTTCAATCTGTTTGGGTGGAGGTAGGTCGGCAGACTTGCACTTCGGCGCAAGGAGCTTTCGTGGATTGCTGAGCCTATTGAAACTACAGGCCTTCGATTCTTCAGACGCCTCTTCACTGCATCCCTGTTAATTTCGTAGGCCTTTCATACGTACTTTATCCAAATGGAAAGCGTGTGGCGACCATTGAACGACTCGATGAAGGACCAACATAGGCTTAAGCCTCCAAGCAACTGTCTGCGAAAGGTGGAAAAGTGCACCAACCCTCCGCACACAACTTGCATGGCGCTGGGTCGCATATAGGTCTCAGCCATAAGCTTTTGTGCGACGGTCACATACTTCGACAACTTCTGCCCCCTTAGGGTACGCAAGTCCCGCCGTCCGTCTACGACTGCCCCCCTTCGCAACGACCTGGCTGCGCAACTCTGGAGAGACTAGAGAAGCAGGCAGCGGCTTGTTGAAGCAGAGGTAGGGATACCAGCAGCGGCGGCTCTCGCGAGGTTCGATGTGGAAAGGTGACATCCCAAACCAATGAGAAGGGTCGCAATCTCACCTTGCATCCCTTGGCAAAGCCTGTTGAGCGGGGTCAGGTTCATGATCAGGCGGTAGATGGGCATGCTTTTCTACCCCAAATGAACCATTAAGCAACTCCGAGTCGACTCACGGACAACCCCAAAGACGCCGGCCCCCAAAAACCCTGCTCCCACTTCTTCCCAATCCGAGTCCCGCACCATGACTCGAGACTTCTTGTATGGCCCCCACTCTCCCAGCGGTTTCAGGAATTGTGGGGGAATGTTCAATGTACTGACGGGCGACGGCAGCCAATGTCAACTCAACCACTCCTATCTCTTTCGGCAACGCGGGTTTGATTAATCCTCCAATTGAAAGTAAGGGCCGTTTTCACTTCGTAGTCATTTGTACGAGTCCGGACACATGATCCCAATCAAAACTGTCCGTCACCTCCTGAATGCCGTTCAGTCGAGTCACATCTCAGGCCAGGCCTCGAAGAACTTGAGGGCTTCGGTCTTAGCCATGCTGATCCTGGGGCGATCCCCCTCCGCAAATCACTCAAAAGATCTGCGCCCATTTTGCAGAGCTTCGTCCCCCTTTTTTCGGTCGTTCGATCGGAGTAGGCTTGCCCCGTCCGTACCCAATGCGATAGCCCCGGTGGAAAAATAACAGCTGGCGTCGGGGGGAATTCATACGCTTCACCGCTCCAGCTGCACAGGGATGAGGTTCCCGAAGTCGTGGCGTCAGCCAGGGCAGTCTCTGCCCCCTCAACCAGCGTCTGCTGCTTGAAATTGGCGCCACCAGTTGTCATATCTTCTTTATCCTCTTTGCAGGGGCCATGCCCTTATCAGCTCTCTCCTCCCTAGGGCTTTCCTGCCCTGCGCTCCTCATACCTTCAGGCCGTCTCTGTATCTCTTCAATCCCTTCAAAGTCAGGCTTTGAAGCCCGCTTCACTCCTTCTTGCTTTTCTCTTTCCCTTTCTTCCCTTTGCCTTTTCCCTTCTCTCCCTTTTCGCTCCTCTCCTTTCCACCTTTCCCCCAATCTCGCCAGCTCGCACTCTGATGCGCCTTCTGTTCGGCCCGCTGCTCGGCTGCGGCTATAGAGAGCTCCTGCCTCGAAGAGAGCGTAGCCGTGTCGCTGGGAAGGAGCTCGCGTCTCTGCGCCAAGGTCCAAGCAAGGCCAGTAGCTTGAGCCTACTGTAAGGATTTCAATCCATCGCCGAAGGCAGCAGCAACTTCAAAGTGAGGTGTTGCCCGGCTGGATCCCGAAGGTCTTCCATCACTCTCCCCGTGAATTGGCAGGGATTCCCGTAGTATAGGTTGCCTCTTCCCCGAATACCAAACTCCCCCGATCCCCGTCTCGGCCAACTGCTGGCCTCCTCAAAGCTCCTTGCACCCTTGGAGCTATCGCTAGGCGTCTCATCACCTTTGGCGCCATCCTTTCCCTGTCCCTTTTCCCCGGCCTGCGCCGTGGTGAAGTAATTCTGTCCTCTAATGACGTGCTTCAGCCCTTTCCAACGCCTTGGCTTGAGCCCTTCCTGGGAATGATATCCCGGTGGTGAATGCGATGGTGTTGGAGGTCCCTTACCTGTTCTGGCGAGGTTTCTTCTTCTGCTCGGACTTCTTTCTTTTCGTCTGGAGTGGCAGGAGACTCGATCTTTTTCTCCTCCTCCTCCTCGGTCTCAGGGCCTGCACTGCCCCGCTTCTCCTTTCTTTTGCTCCTCCTTCTCGATCTTGACCGGGTCCTTTCGCGTCTCCGATATCGATCTTTCTTGGGTGTGGAAACTGCCTTTATATCTCCACTATCGGCTCTTTCTCTGCGTCAGCGTCCTTCTCGCGCTTGACTGCGATCCTTGCTGAGCCTGCCTCAGGGTCTTCTTCTCCCCGGCGCTCACCCTTCTCTTCGCTACCTTCGCCTCCTCCTTGGCGCTGCTCTTCCCCTTTGATTTGTCAGTGATCGGAGCACACAAGGCCTGCTGTCCGTTCCGCCTCGAGCTTCTCGCAAGCGTCTTCCACAGTGTTGGTCACCTTGTGCAGGTCGTTCACCAACTGATCTGAAGTGTGTGGAGGAGCACAAGCGAAGACTAGTCGCTGAACCCCGGGAGCACGGAGGAGCCTACCGTGACACCCTTTGCAGCTCATCAAAGCCGAAACACTACGGAACAAGAAATCAAGGTCCGTAATGTTTTATTTCCCGGGGGCGGGACACCGTGTGACAAACTTGTTTTTCTGCGCTGCTCAAGGCTGAAGCGTCTAGCTAGAAATCAGTTTCGATCGCATTGGTGAGATTGAGCTCCAAAGAGGTGGTTATATATATATATGTGTGTGTGTGTGCCCAGACATATCATATGTATCACATACCTCTACATGTATACATGCATGTGATACACATACATATGATGTATGTATGTCTTTAGTTATCTATTTATTTATGTATTTATGTATGTATATCTATCGATCGATCGATCCACTAGATAGATAGGTAGATAGATAGGTAGATAGACAGATAGGACAGATAGGACAGATAGGATAGATAGATAGATAGATAGATAGATAGATGGATAGATAGATGGATAGATAGATAGATAAATAGATAGATAGATAAATAGATAGATAGATATATAGATAGATTAGATAGATGGATGGATGGATAGATAGATAGATAGCTAGGTAGATAGATAGATAGATGGTCATCACGATCGTTTCTTTCTGCGGTATGTGTATATATACACACTTAATACACACGATATATTTAATTACAATTTAATATATGTGTTTCTTGCACACTCACTTTGTAGAAAAACCCTGAAACAACACGGTGCCATTCTGTGCCTCTGAGACAGCCTGATCAGGCACCCCGCTCAACTGCACATCCTCAAATGTCACCATTAAGTGAGGAGTTTCTGCATCTCATTGGTCTCTTGTAATCTCAAGAAAGAAGACCAAGAAGAACAAAGGAATGCAAGGCCCCTCTTGGTTCGTTCTCTCTTCATGTTCGCTCTCTCTTGGTTCTGTTCTCCCCTCTCTCAACTCCACACCTCCTCCCGATGACTTGCAGGAGCCCATGACGGAGCCTCTGAGCTGCAAGCTACACAAAGGGCGCCACGCGCAAACAAATCCAACACATGACACAGCACAACTTGCAAGATCTGGAGTGCTTATTCAAATCCAACCTACATTCAGCATTCATTGCAAGAGGTTTTCTTGAATGATCTGGAATGGCATACAGACATCGTTTTGCAATGTTTTTTTAGCAGCAAGAGCACGCAGCAGAGTTATGCTGGTTCCAAAAACCAGTATTAGTATTCTTTGCCCAGGAAAGAAGCATTCAATCTCGATCAAGGTCAACATATCAACAATGACATTCTGTTTTCAGTCCTTTCCAAATAGGGTCTGGTCTGAAGCGAAACACTCTGGAAGTACTTCAGACTTAGGGATTAGGAGACCGCTGAGCAATACCTTCCCCTAGCTTGGCGTTTATCGTGTCTTGTTGCCGAGTTCAGGCACTGACCCAGTTTCCATGGACGTTGCACCAGCTCCTAAGGGAGCAGCGAGAAAAGGATGATGATAAAGAAAGAGCACAAACAACGACCTAAATGGTCCAAAGAACAAAGAAAACAAGCCAGAAAGGAAGAAAGAAAGGTGCTTCACAGGCCCTGACATATCATGGGGAGCTTCACAGTGTTTCTGTGCGAGAAGAACAAATAGACACAAAAAGATCCGCACAAAAAAACACAGGGTAATTTCTTATGAAGTATTCCTTTCCAGAGAATTGCTTCGAAATTCCGGCCTGGGAGATTGGATCCTGGGAACAGCGAAACCAAGCAGCGAAGCACAGAGCTCGACTGGAAAGGTCCTGGCAAATGAAACAGAAAAAGTACTCGGAACCGGTAACATTGGAGTACTGTATCTTTGTTTGTATGCGCATATAAAATTTTATATGGACCTACACGTGTTTTCTGTGGGCCTGCCCATGCAAAAGCTGACAACTTCAATTGCATGTTCAAACTGCTAAAAACCGGTTGTTTTCAGTGCTAAAAAACATCAAAACAACAAAACAAAACAACAAATCGGGCAATCTGGGTTCAGGTTGTTTGTCTTTTTGGGGGGGGCGCCCGTTGTTGTTGCATGTTTTTCGTGTTTGTTGTTTGTGTTTTGGGTTTTGGTTTTTGTTTACTTGTCTTTCATCAGAAGGAAGGGGCCTGGGCACATGCGACTTGCCAGTATGTGAGCTGAGAGACCAAAGGAACTGCAGTCTTGGAAAAGGATTTTGTTGCGCTATGTGATTATTGTTATTGTTCAGGTGGATTTCCGTTCAAACTCCATCAATTTGTGTTTCTTTGTGCTCAAACTGATCAATAAACAAAACCTAAATACACAAAAACAAAAACAAAAGAAAAAACAAATGCCTGAAACCTGAACCCAAATGTGCCTGACGTTTGTGTTTTTTTGTTTTGGGTTTGGGTCAAAAATTGCTTAAAAAAATACGATGTGTTTGCACTAATCCTTCTGATTTCGAACGATTTCCGCTTACACTCTTTTTGGTTCCAATTCATGTCCACTTAAATTCCTTGTGATGCCTCTTGATTTTGTTTAAAGTCTTAAATCAGATCTTTGAATATTGTAACGTAACTCCCTACAATATTCTCTGCCCTTTTTGGCTTTCATAAATACATCCCCTGCAGTCACGTCTACGCTTTTGTTTTTTTTGTATGAATTCCCTTAATTGAAAAAAAAAAATTGATTATCCATTGAATTCCTTTCCTCTTGATGTCCTTTTAGTTATTTAACCAGTTTCGTTTAGATCCCTCATTATATCTTCTCAACTTGTCACAAAAATAGAAAACGTTTCCACAAAATTAGCCCAGTACACTAGAAATCTTGAATAAAACCCTCTACATTAATGTCTGTCCCTTTCCGCTTTAATAATAACACCCCCTCCCCTGGATTGATTATATAACGTCTACGCGTTTCCATTGTTCAGTGATATTGTCTGCGCATTGCTCTGGTATGACATTTGAAAAAATAATCACCTCCCCTGCAATGATGTCTATGCGTTTCATTGTTCATTACTGTTATTTGTGAGCTCTCTTGTTGAAACTCCTTGTGGCCTTTATTGATTACCTATTGAATTCCCTTTGGCTATTGTCGATTTCCTTGGAATCATTTTAATTGCTGTTGGTTACCTTTTTGAAGTTTTTGGGTTTTAACTTGTTTGCTTATTTTCTCACTTAATCTAATCCCTTATCAAAGCATTTCAAACTATTGCAAAAATCGATTCCGCAAAGGGGTTAGCCCATTGATACACTAGAACTTTTTTAAAAATATTAACCCCCATACAGTAATGTCTGCCCTGTGTTGCTTTCATCAAAAATATCCCCTGCAATCGCATCTGCGCTGTTCATTGTTCATTATCTGTTCTGTGTGAAGCCCGTTTTTTCACTTCCTTGTTGTTTATACTGAGTACCTGTTCATTTTCTTTTCCCCACATCACTACGTGGGGCTCTTGTTTTTCGCTCTGCACCCGCCACTCCATACCCGCGTCCGCCACTCCGCCGCCACTCCGCCGCCGCCTTCTTACACCACTCATCATACACCACTCATTGTTCACCACTCATCTTACACCGGTGAAACTTACACCACTCATTGTTCACCACTCATCTTACACCACTCATCTGACACCACTCTTTCTACACTACTCCACTTACACCACCCATCTTACACCACTCATCTTACTCCACTCATCATACACCCCTCATACCACACCACTCATCTGACACCACTCATACCACACCACTCATCTCACATTACTCATCTTACACCACTCATCTCACACTACTCATCTTACACCACTCATCTTACACTACTCAGCTTACACCACCCATCTTACACCACTCATTCTACACCACCCATCTTACACCACTCCACTCATCACACACCACGCATCTCATACCACTCAGCTCATCTCACACTACTCATCTTACACCACTCATTGTTCACCGCTCATCTTACACCACTCATCTTACACCACTCATCTTACACTACTCATCTTACACCACCACTCTTACACCACTCATTCTACACCACTCATCTTACACCACTCATCTTAAACCACTCACCTCCCACTACTCATCTTACACCACTCATTGCAGATTTTGTCGCAGGCGCAGTACACAGAGCCTCCTGGATCAGCTGCGGCGCGCGTGGGCGCCGCTGGGCCGCGTGGCTGGGGGCAGATTTCGTGGCAGGCGCAGCACTTGGTGAGCCTGGACTGTAAATTTCGCGGCAGGCGCAGTACTTGGTGAGCCTGCAGCGCAGATACTGTGACAGGCGCAGAAGACTCAGCTGCAGCGAGGGCACCGCTTGGCCGGCTGAGTGCAGATTTCGTAGCCGGCACAGCACTTGGTGAACCTGGAGTGTAGATTTCAAACCAGGCGCAGTACTTGGTGAGCCTGGAGTGTAGATTTTGTGGCAGGCGCAGTACACAGAGCCTCCTGGATCAGCTGCGGCGCGCGTGGTGCGGCGCGGATGGGCGCCGCTGGGCCGCGCGTGGCTGAGTGCAGATTTCGTAGCAGACGCAGCACTTCGTGAGCCACAAATGTAGATTTTGCGGCAGGCGCAGTACACAGAGCCTCCTCCACTCATCACACACCACTCTTCACACACCACTCATCTTACACCACTCATCACACACCACTCGTCACACACACACAACTCATCTTACACCGCTCACACACCACTCCACTCATCACACGCCACTCATCTTACACCACTCACCACACACCACTCACCACACACCACTCACCACACAGCAATCATCACACACCACTCATCTTACACCGCTCATCACGCACCACTCATCACACACCACTCATCACCCACCACAGATCTTACACCGCTCATCTTACACCACTCATCACACACCACTCTTCCTACACCACTCATCTTACACCACTCATCACACACCACTCATCACACATCACTCATCTTACACCACTCATCACACACCACTCAACTTACACCACTCATCACACACCACTCATCACACACCACTCATCACACACCACTCATCACACACCACTCATCTCATTCGTTTTTATCGTCCAGTATCTTTCCGCCCTCTTTTCTTATTCATCTCTACTCCTCGTTGATAGTTCTTACAAGCTTAACATGTGGGGGGTATCCGGTCCCTTTTTGTTTTTTTATGTGCTGTTGACTCCCTTTGATTTATTTTGATTACCGTTTACCGTTTAAGCTAGTTGGTTGATTTTTGTTTAACTCCCTTTTTTAGTCGTATTGCAAATATGTATTCCACACACGAGGTCGCCCAGTACAGAAAAGCGGCTGACAAGCAGGAAAAGGTAGAACAGCTGAGAAATATGAAAAGTCGAAGAGCTGAAATGCAGGAAAAGGTAAATCAACGGGCCCAGGGGGTGAGCATATATATTTATATATATGTATATATATATATGTTTTGTGTACGTATGTACTAAATATATATATATAAACATGTACACATGTATATACGGTATGTTTTTCGTTGTGAAGGATCTGGACTGCGCACTCCGAACCAAATGCAGCGTGTCCTGCATGCCTTGTTCACTGACCAGCGCCCTCCTGAGATCAAAACGCCAGAATGACTCGCATTGAGTTTTACCCGACAACATACTGTTTGGCAGCATGTTGTTGAATCTCACGCTTACAAGTCAATAAACCAGCCAATTCTTTCAGAAGTCCTAAAACAACGCGAGTGACCCACTGATTCACAGAAGGTTCCTCCAGAGAGCAGTTTTACCTAACACAAGCAGGCGAAACACACTAAGGCAGCGGCTGACGATCGCATTCCTTTTCCGAACTACAACCTTGCGCGCATCCAAGCATTTTAAAGCAAACTAATGAGTTCATGTGTGCCTGTTTAGTGAGTCTGGTAAAGCTGTAGAAGCTGAGGACGGTGCTTACAGCAATTGAAAGCCTGAACATCTCACACCAGCTTGGCTTGTGCTTTGAGCTTTTTGCATTGGAAGTCTAAATATATATATATATATGCGTTTTTCTTGATACGCAAAAGGGCTGCAGTATGCAAAGTAGACATGCTGTGATGTCCATGATGCAATGTACATCGATTGCGCTCTACCTGCAACATGGTTCACACTCCTTCTGGGGGCTGTGAGACACTAAAATGCTTCTTTGAGCCTTTGAAACCATAATCAGCTTTTCTTCCATTCAGTCCTTATTTCTCTGGAGGCTTTTTCATGTCTCTCAGGAACTGGGTTCCTAGAGATTGTTGGCATTGTACGTGGTGTTCTCTCCCCCTGACTGCGCAGTCCAACAATTCTCGATACTTCATCATTTCTTCTTCAGCCATATCTGCTGCTTCTGGGAATCCTCTTCCCAACAAGTTGTAGTATCTCTCCATGAGTTGTTGTAGTTTTGCTTCAAGTCTACCACACACTTGGTTTGCTTTCCTACTTCGTACTGCTCTCTGAATGATAGTCCTGCATTCAACTCTCCCAACACGTCATAAGTGATGATAGCGTGTATGTCTGATGTTTCTCTCTACAAAACCTCCATTCACAATCAATCCACACCAATCCACTGTGAATTCTCCTGGCGTAGTTGTGTAGAGCGTCAATTCTCTCCTCAAGTTCTTCTTCTGTCCAAACTCTAACTCTTTCTTCAACTTCATCACTTCGCTTTTCATCTCTTTTGACTAGAGTCTCCATGTCTCCAAATTACAATTGGTTTGCATCAGCCACACCAAAATAGCTGATCTCAAAGTGTTTGTAAGTCTTGAAGAGTACAAAGATCCCTGCTGCAAAACCAATAATATTGAACACAATGACCATGAAAATTCCAGAATTTCCATTCTTCATTGGATTTCTTCACTGCGTCCATCTCGCATTGGACGTTGTCTCCTTTCAGGAATGCTTCTGTAATCACTGGCTGCGAGCCCTCAAAAGCAACCATTCTGACAATCACTTTGGCAATCTTAGTGACCTTGCCTGCAAACTTCTTCTTTCGTTCAAACACCCTTCTCTCACACACCCACTCTGATTTGATCATCTCTGCCTCAATCGCCAATGAGGTTCATCAAGTATCTGATTCTCTGTCCCCCAAGTGGCTTTGTATTGAGGTCTGCTATGTTGCTGTCTGTTGCTACTTGTACCATCTTGAAGTCTTTCCTGCTCTGAATCCAAAACAGCTTTCCATCCAAGCGTCTTACTTTTCCAACTCCTCTCTTCATCACAAGTTGGCGTGCGCTTGATGAACCTGTGTAGATGTAATGGCCCACCTTTGCCCCAAGAGCAAATTCAAGAACTGCGCGGTTCCTTTCCATGCTGGAACTGTCGATTGCGTAAGATGCAGCTGTTCCTGACGAGGTCCATGAGTTCTCGGTTCTCAGTCAAGGCTTGCCATGCCTGCGTCTTGGCTGTGCCCTGAGATCTGTTCTGTCGACCGTGATGACCTGCGAGGAACGTTTGACATCGAGGAGAGGGCAACTGGCGTGTTCTATGTGGTGTTTCAATCCACGCCAGCTGGCAAGAGAGGCCCAACAGCCAACAGTGTCTACAGGTATATAGTGGTGCCATTGTGCGCGTCTCTGAGTGGTTCAAATCGTGTGAACATTGGCTTGGCCTTGTGCCTCTTAGCCACGCGCTGATGTGATTGCGGAATGTTGTTGCACTCTTGTTCACAATACGGACATATTCGCGGCGCCTCCTCAGGCCTGATCTTGTTCTACTTGTTGTCAGAACTTGAGGCCTCAAAGATGCGTTGGGCTCTCACTGCAATGGCGGCAACAGGAATCTGGCCTCAGGGCTCAGACCTGCTCGTTGTTGTTCAAGCTTCTCGTAGAGCTTGCGCCAGGATTCCTGCAAGAACCATCGAGGATCTTGAACTGCAACCCTTTGGAGCACTTGAGACTTGAGACGTTGACTTACTGTGGCTTTTGTTTCCACTCCAGTCTGAATCTGAGAGTGTCTCCAAGCACCAATAGCTTTCTCCTTTCTTGACATAACCTTCTCCTGCTTGTGGAAAGTCAGGTACTAGACAATATTCCATAGTCTGCTTCAAGTATCCCAAGAACTTCTTGAAGTGATGAGATGACATTTGACATTCTTGAAGCCAATTCCTTCAGTGTAAACGCTGCATCATACCTCTCTTGAAATGGGTAGAAACCTGATCCAACAATGCTTCTGAAAAGGCTAATCTTCTCTTACTCGCGCAAAACGCCTGATTTGTCTTCCAACTGAATTGAATTGTCTGACGGTAGTTGTTGGAGCTTGACCTTTCCAATCTGCCCTTTATAGGCCTTCAGCATCTGGTGGATGTAGTTACCTGGTTGGATCCACAGTCCATCAACTTCTAGTTTGTACTTCTTGCTGACTTTGTCTCTGACTCCCTTGCTCTTGTGTAGCAAAAGTCAAAGCTTACCTCAGGAATACTTCCTCTCCGTACTCCATCGGCAATTGGCATATGGCGCGCGCGTCAACCCGCGCCTTGCTTGAGTTGCTTCATCTGGCATCTTTGCAACACTTTGTCCTAATGCCTCTCTAGTTTCCTGAGCTTTTGCTTCACTCACGAAGCTTATCTTGGTGTAGACCTTTATTTTAGAGCCACTGCCTGAAATGCCGAGAAATGAACAGGCTGCTCTCAGAGTTGCCAAAGATGAATCCTTAGTCAACTCTACTCCATTCACCAAGACTTTGTCTACATCCACCGGGCTCAACTGTAGTTCACACTCAAGGTCAGTATCTTTCTTCTGGCCTTCTTTCTGACCTTCTACCTCCTTGTGGGGGGCGGCGGGGGTCTCCTCTATTGCTTGTCGCACGTCTTTCTTTCTCAGTTCTCTGTTCTCAAGCTTCCTGTATCCTGGCGCAACTAACCCCATATCCTCTGGCGGCGCTGGCTTATAGCTGAAGATTGCGATTGAAGGAATGACTGCAGCATCGTCAAAGAATTGTTCATCAAGCCCCTCCTTTTTCACCATACTTTCACAATAATCAGACATTAGCCATTAACCTCCTCTTTTCACCAAAGGGGTTCTCATCAGCTCTGGTGATTCTTCCGCTTCTGTTCTGGAATGACTGTGGAATCCACAAACCTTGAAGTCAATAAGCTTCCAATTAGCAGCCCCCATGCTCAATGAATCTCCAACCTGATTCCTTTTCCAACGCTTCAGGTACTTGCGCTTCCAAGCAGCTTTCATCTTCATCTCTAACGACTCTAATGCGGCCTTGGACTGTCACAGAGCGATTTTGTAAGTTGAGTTGTACCTTCAAGTCACCATTCTCCAACATTTGCTCTCTGCTGTTGATCCCCCAAGCATGTTGCATCAACCTTCCATAGCAAAGTATGGGTTGGTTCGCCTTTGAACTGAAGATCGCATTCTCTTTGAGAAGAACTTCTCAGGAAATTTCATCACTTTTTGCATGTCCTGCGGGGATACGATTTCCTTGTTCATCTTGTAGCTTGGTCCTTGCGCTGAACTCCAACTCTCCTTCCCCATGATCTGCCACGCTCAGAGGGAATAATGCTACATCAGCTCCACTGTCAATAATGATGGCCACATCCTCATTCTCTTCCCCAAGTCTCCTCACAATGGGTTCATCATCTGAAACCTCAATCTCTCTTCAACTTCCTGGAATTCTGGGTCGCCTTCATCTATAAGAAGTGAACTACTCTAATTCCCTGATCTTCTAGATCATCATCTCTTTGATGACGGGCTCACTGTTCTCAATTCTCTTGACCGCTGGCTTGGTCTCTGCAGAGCTACCTTGCTATGCTGTTGGCCAACTGCATGAGTTCGCACTGGTGCTCCTCCTGGAGATGAATAGGTCTGGTCACTTGCTACCTGTCGAATGTTGTTCCTCCGGCTTTCCGCAAGTGCAACACGTTGCCACACCTTTACCTTTTTGGCCTTTGCCTTTACCTTTGCCCTTGTAATCTTCCTTTGGCATCCCATTGGCGCATGCCCTTGGTAATAGTCTGCACTGCTACTAGCCACCATGGAAGTAGCCCACTTCTGCTGAGAGCGGTCCCATTGCAACACTTGTTCCCTCAAAGTTGAGTATTGAACACTGTCACCAACTGTCAGGTTCAAGTTGGATTTGAGTTGTCCACTCACACATCTCAAAAGAATAGCGGATTTCAACTCTTATTGAGTTGTAGTCCTGGCTTGACTGTCTCATCAAAAACTTCTTCACGCTTCAAGAGTTGAGGTTGTAGTGCACTGTTCATTGAAAATGCTGGCCATGTAGTGGCTGCTCCCAAGAGTGCTAAGCCTCTTACCTTTGAAGTTGGTTTCAAAGCTTTAGTCAAACTCGTCCAGCCATCAAATCCAATGGAGTCTTCCACAGCTTTCACAAATTGCAGCGCTCTTCCTCTCATCAATGAAGCTAACAATCCATAGAGCTTGATGCGCCTGGTCTTTTCTTCTGACGCTGCCAAGTCTCAATCAAAGCTCTCATTGTCATTTGGCTTGTCACGAATCTCCTTCAGTCCTTCATGTAGCCCCCACCAACTGCGCTCAAGTACTTCTCAAAGACCCATCCATGACCACTCTCTGAATGCACTGATCTCTTCCTCTTGTGACTTATAGTCAAAGATGTTGGGCTCCGCTATCAATTTTGACCAATCTGTTGTTGATGGCTTCTGGTCCTCAACTGCTTTCTTCAGCTGCTGATGCTGTTGCCAGCGTACTCTGTGCTATAGTTTGAAGGATTTCTCTGATTTCCTCCATCTCCTCTTTGTACTAATGTCTTTTTGTCACAATGTACTGGGTTCTTCACCAGTCCAGCTGTCTGGGTTCCAAAGGCCCCAAATCTATGGCTCGAAATCGCACCCGGGATCCCAGTGACCTAGGGGCTTTTCAATCAGAGCTCCCGAGGGGTTACCCTGATCCTCGCTCTGCTACCATACGCACTTTATCTTGATACTCAAAAGGGCTGCAGTATGCAAAGTAGACATGGTGTGCTGTGATGTCCATCATTACATAGATTGTGATCTACCTGCTGCAGAATGATTCACAATATAGAGTTTGTATATACATATACATTGCTTTCCGTGAGAACTGTGGAGCGCCTTGCATTTGAGGCTCTTGGCACGCCAGTTGTGAAGACATATTCCTCTGAGATTTCTTCACTAACAAGCGTAACAAAAACACTCTTTTTGAGCAACAAGCTATCGCGAAAAGCGATATACTCAGCGTCTCCTGGTTTCCTTGGCCTTCTTCGTTTGGCCACCCCTCAGAGTTCGGAAACAAGTTGCAAATCTGCACGTCACAAAGCTCACTTCCCACAAAGGCTGCAACGTCCCACAAAGCTCCAGGAAACTTTGTGCCTCAGCGGTGGGGCCGTTCTTTGTGTAATGTGCGCTCTCAAGCGCAACTTGCACAAGTCGGGAAAACAGCACACCAAACACAGGAATCAAATGGGCAAAGCAAAACAAATTGCACATCCTTCTTTGGATACCAACTGCCCATAGCAGCTTTCACAACGCGTGGTGGAAGAAGAACCACCTGAAGAGTGGACACCAAACTCGCAATACAAGAAAGATAAGACCGTGAAAGCATACTCGTGGCGGAGTGACAAACCAAGTCATATAAGTAGTCTGAGGTCAAGACATATTCGGTGTTGCGCAGCAAGGGATGGTCCAACTCGATCTGAAGGACCTGCGAATCTCCATCGGCCAGGGAAAATGAATACATCAGGAGTAACCCACAGTCTGCAAAACGTCGTCTGCATAAATCCGCAAGGAGGAGAGCTGTTGCCCCTGAGATTTCACTGCGGGTTGTATTGTCAATGAAAAGTGAGAAGTGAGAAGCCTCCCCACTTGCCAATACACGGGCATCATCTCCAACGGTAATTTTGTGGCCTAGGGCCCGCAACGAGTCAACACTGTTTCTGCGCTTTCCGGTCTGATCACCGCAACCAAACAACTTCAATTGCAATGTGTGAGCCACTCTCGAATCTAGAAGTAGCAAGCCACGCTGCTGCAGAGTGTCTATCAAATGAGCAGCGTGGTCCTCTGCTTTGTTGTTTCTTTAATCATATTATATATTATATATTACTGTACTATATTACTATATACTGTCTCTGAATGACCTCCATCTCTTCACCCCAGTCCTTGTGCTTCGCTTGCGCATTACATGGGGACCAGGACATGCTTAAGCGGCGCTTTTAACAAGGCTATGTATGGCAGGATGCAGACTGCACCAGGCTCAGACTGATTGCGGCGACTTGTTTTTCGTCATAAATCATGTTCTACAATACGCAAACAAGTTGCGTGCGCAAAGAACTGATACGATAACTCTACATATTGTGCTACATTTAGGTGCAGGAAGCTTCACACCATGCAAATTCAGGTTCAGTGGTCCAACCATCGATGAGGCAAGAAGAAATTGAGATTAGTATTTGGGAAACTATATGGGCTGGTGTTCTTGGTGGTCCAACATAAAAGCAAATGCTTGATATGATACGCGTGTCATCTTTGGCACCAAAATAAGCTATGCTGTCAAGGCAATGAGGCCTTTTGGACATCAAAAAATCCCGCGCACATGTGCCCGCACTGTTTGATGAAAACCATAACCTTAGCCATGGCTAGGGGAGCATTACTTTTCGATCGAATGGAATCTTCATGTTGCCAGTGTTTCGGTTGCCTTTGAGGCAGAAGAGAAGAGATCTGACAGATCAAGACACTTTAGGAGTACCTGTGTGATATGTTCAGGTTGGGCCAGTGTGTCGGACTGTAGGGGGAGTGTTGACACATGACCCCTGTTGTTGCTGCAAGTGCTTGATTGTTTTCTCAAGAAAGAACTGAAGTCAAGTCCATCAGTTAAAGTTATTGTTGGCTGTTTGGGATTGCTGGGCGTTTCCCCTTCTGCAAAATATTCCAAGCAACTGGTGGGGCACATCCACACGGTCGATAAAAGAACTGCTGCATAAACTGATGCGGTCACGACACAAGCCAAGCAAGCAAGTCCGCAAAAGCTCAGGGCTGCTCAAAAAAATCCAATTGGAACTCCCTGGACCGCATCTGTCGAAACGCCCACACTGGCAGGCCTGACACGAGGAGCAAATCTTGACCTCCATCGCTGAAACTCGGAACTTGCCTACCTGATCTGAACTACCTACCTGAAAGGGAGAAGACAAAAGCCAGGGGAAGCAACCCACCTGTTCGTTCAACTAGCCATCCATCGACCTACCTACGCTCTACACACATCTATCACACCTACTGATCACTGATCCTCTTTCTACATCCAAAGAGAGACCACTATGGAAGGATATCTGTGTATCTATCTATCTATCTATCTATCTATCAGCCTTTTTCATTTCAAATGGTTATCCTGGCCACGACGACTCCTGCACCGCCCCTATGAACTGGGAGCTGTGCTTTCAGGCGTCCCAGCGCCCTGTGTGCTGGCGGCTTGCTTTGGCTTCGCTGGCATCGCTGCTTTCTGGCCGCCACCATCCAGGAGTGAACCTTGGAGCGGGGGCCTACACGCAACGAGCCAAGGAAGCAATGCCACCGACCTGGACCACGTTGCCCATTTTTGCATACCTTCCAGAACAAGGAGTTGCAAGGAGCATTGATGCTGATCTTTCACTTCTGTTCAGAGATTCGGGACACGTGCGCCACCTTTGCATCAGGAGCAAAAGCCCAAGACTTGAACACCCACGGTCGTGATCTCAATGGTGGGCTCATCTTGTCCATGGACTTGAAGCAGGCATATGATCGCCTACCCAGGCCTGCACTGGCCGAAGGACTTTCCCTTTCTCAATGCCCCAGGAACCTCAGCGCGGTACTGCTGCAATGGCTTGTGGGCGCCAGGTACGAGATCACCCATCGTGGTCGACGAACCTGGATACCCACCTCCAGAAGGGGTCAGGCAGGGGTGCAGGGCATCCCTTGATGAGTGGACTGCCTTTCCTGTTCTTGCACACATTGACAGGCAAGTGGACCCGTCCAACACTCCCTATGAGTGGCTGAAGCAACACCTGATTGCATACGCAGATGATCTTCTCTTCAACTGGAGGCTCACAAAACACACAGAGTTTGATCAAGCCATTCAACAAATTTGGATTATCGTGGACGGCGTCGAGGGTCATGACTTGCAAATCAGCATGGACAAAACGGTCATTCTCTTCCGCATTGCTTGAAAGAAAGCTCGAAGACTACTCAAGCACAAAATACAACATCATCAAGGCCAGAAAAGGATTGCCATTGGACAATCATGGATCAGAGTTGTTGACAAACATGTTCACCTGGGGGGCACAGATCTCATTCCGAGCCTTCGAATCACAAACTCTTCGACGTAGACTAAAAGGCCGAGACAATGGTTCACAGGCAGACATAACCTACCTGTCAAAGATCGGGCACAACTCTGGGCGGCTAGCATCAGGGCTAGCTGCTGCCATGGATTGGCATGCTCTGGGCTCAGACCGGACGGCCTCATCCAGCTCATCAACAGAATTCGTGCTGATATTCGCGCGCTGGCTCGTTCGCCCAACCACATCACGCGTGAACCTAGGCTTCACAGCATGTGCGACTAGTCGAAAGTCCACGCACCGACTGTCTGGCCTTCCTTAAAGGTCTTAGACCACGCAGCGCACGCGGTAAAGATTTTAATGTGGCCCAGAGTTGTCATGCTGTCCGGCAGATGGCCATGTTGGAACTTCTCACATCCAATCAACAGTAGTCATGGGATGTCCGCTCAGGTGATGTTGCTGTTCCTCCACCTCCTGTCCCTGATCCTTCTCATGAAGTTCCTGAATCAGCCAAACGATGCAGACTACAGAAGGAAGGCCAGACGCCGCTGACGGCATTGACCTTGAGGCAGGTTCAGGTGTGGCCGCCAGCGACTCCTTCATCCTGTTCACGCAGCTGGCCCCCTCAAGGGCCCACGCCGCTCAAAGGAATGGAAGAAAGCGGCGGAGCAGAAGGATACCAAAATGGCACTCTGCACTCTGCTATTCATTGCCATGACGCTGCAGGAACGAATTGCGACATTGTCCACGGCAACGCCCACGAGCGAGATCTGGAAGGAAGCCATGGATCATCAAGTCATCGACCAACAGGGGGCATGGCCATTCCTGGCGTGGACAAAGCCCCAATCAAGATGATCAAGTTCATCGAGGAGCTGGTGGAGTTGGCCACCTCAACAGATCATGTCCTCCGCTTCAAATGTTTGAAACCTCAAGAGATGGAGAATGGGAAGGCCAGGATCAGTCCATGGATCCTACAGCTGCCCCTGAGGGAGGAGAGGGCTCCTGATGGCACTGACCAACAACTCAACTCAACGCTGATCCAAACCAGAACCACACCAAATTAAGGAGAACGCACTGGCCAACCACCTCAGCAAGGCATCAGCTTCCCTCTTCAGCCCGAAGAACTAGCTGGCTGGCTGATCTCTCTGAGATTGGCCAATGCGGGAATGCGGGGAATCAGCGCTTAATGCAACTCAGGGGTCCTGTTTGGCACGAGCTTGGAAAGGGCCCCGATTGCACAGGACAATCACAATCACTGGGTCCGGGGCTTGGGGACACGCCGGCTATTGAAACCTTTTTGACTGAATGGGACGGGCATCAACATGATGCCCATGAGTTCCTGCAAAAGTTTTTGAGCACCATGCAGCCGCCGTGTCTCAACTCCCATTGGTAGCGGACCTACTTTGAAAGGGGTCAAGAGGTCATTGCTGGATTTGAATACACTCCAGTCGAGGAAAATCACCACAACCTGCAGGAGCTTGTTGACCAATGGTCATCATACATGGGTAAGCGTGGACAGGTGAACCGATCAAACAGGAGTGGATTCTCGACCTCCCGACAAGCTATGGCTTCCCATCAAGCTGCAGGACTCTCAGCTGGAAAACCACGAATTTGAAATCATTGGAGGCATCGCTCACAAGGGCGCACATAAAGCCGGCCCCCTACAGGCCATAGGAAGGTGGAGCTCCTTTTCAATGCCAACCGTGAGGCCATCGACCTTGGCATGGAGGTCCCGCGCGCTAAGGAATAGGTCTGTGTCTGCCTGGCCCGCGGGAGCTTCGAAACCCTGCAGGATGGCACACAGGTACTGACATGTACAATGTGGAGGCTGCCATCGAGTTCTCCAAGCCTGTCTGGACTCTCAGTGCCCACAGTCCACCCATGAGGACCTCCGGACGCACATCTTGCGCAAGCATCCGGAATATGCTGCTGCGCTGTACCGTCCCTTGGGTCGGAAAGAGTTTCATGATGCTTCAAGCTTGCCATGTCATGGCCAAGAGCATCTTGGGAGTAAGACCGTTGAAGCTGGTTCACAAGTGCCACGTGGCTTTGAACCTGTGCCTTGCCTCATCATAAAAAAGAGCTGGCGGCGCCGCGGAGCACCATCTTTCAAGTGCCTCAGCTCCAGGAGGAAGCCCAGCAGCTAGCTGCGCCGGATCTTGCCTCCTTCCTGCAGCGCTTTGATGGCACTCCTGGGCCTAGCGACCTGGCTTGACCTCTATGAGTTCAGCGCTGCTGCCTGCCGATGTGCCTGCCGCAGCTGACTGAGAATGATCAATTGCACAGCGATGCTTTCCTTCCTGGCATGACCTGCCAGATGCTTGGCGCGCCGGTCGGATTAGATTGATTTGATTGAACTCATTGTTGCGCAGACCTTGCGGTGAGATCTCCATCTCACATGGGGGATTGAACTTCCGTTTGTTCCATTGCATTCGATTGCAGCTCTGTTGCCACAGCGGCTTTTGACCAGACTGCATTGTTCTCATGCTCCCAACGAGCACCACGGCGCATAGCTTCTTGACTCTCCTAGCCTTGAAGCCGCGACGAAGGTCGTGTCCGCCCACATAGTTTCCGAGACTTCAGAGAATGCCACAAACTGCCATCTATCTATCCATCCATCCATCCATACGATTCTATTCCTCTATCACTCTAGCTCTTCGTCTCTCGATGTCGCTGTCTCTCTAACTCTCTCTCTCTCCTTTTACCCAGCCACCTATCCACCCACCCGTTCGTCCAACCAGCCATCCATCGACCTATCTACACTCTACACAAATCTATCCGCATCTACTTCACAATCTCTCCTGTCTCTCTATGTTTCTATCTCTTCAGCTTATCTCCCTGTCTCACTTTCTCTCTGGCACTCTCTCCCCTTCTATCCATCCATCCATCCACCCGGCAACAGACTAACCTTAGACTAACCTGAGCGACTGTTTAATATACGTGTCTTTGCAACTGTCTTTCGACGTTTAGACCTCTCTTTCTATCTTTCCTTTCTTGTTTTCTTTAGAAAGCGCAACTGTCCTGTCACACAAAGTCAATGGCTAGACATGGCTACACCACTACGCTGATTTCCCGCTAGGGCCTCAAGGAACCAAGCCCGGTGTCATGCCTTGGTCGCTTTCTTCACTTAATACGCACGTCCCGACAAATCTGCTCAACTCCAGTGGCGCCGGACGGGAACATTTGCCACTGAAAGGTATCGTCCACATCTAGCTCTTGGCGAAGGCCTGGCGCAAGCAATTTAGCAACTTTCATGAGCAGCAAGGGGATCAAAACAAACTTAACTTACATATATAGGCGCGGTCGAGTTCTCTCATCCAATTCAGTTTCTACAAGAGAAAGCACATATATAGTATCTAGCTGTAGCTCATCAATTCTGGGTCTCCCGCAAACATCTTTCAGTGCAGCCTCTAGACTCTAGGCCAACACCGAGCAGGTGCAGGTGCGTCTCTGCACCCATATGGAAAGCATCATGTGTACCATATCAAACAAGATTGCATGTGGGTTCAATAAAAGCAAGAACAATGCACAAGAACTATGCTTGCGCATGCCTGTGCAACCAAGACACTGGAATTATTCTAATGATTGCTGACAGGTCGTCTTTAGCAACAATGTCCTACCAGTTTGTCGCTGTGATTTCAGGGCATCCTATCTTTCACAACAGCACGAATCTGCGCGAATCATAACAGGAGTTGAAAAAGGAATGCTGAAGCTGCTTCGGTGTTCTTTTCCTAAAGTGCCAAGGCAATGCGTTGATTGCAATGAGCGTCCTCGAATATGATGCGGATTCTAGCGAAGGAAGGATCCACGTCTGGCAAAGTTCGCTTTCTGCAACTTGAAATGTACTGCGCCCAGTGCCAGTGACAACTCAATGCCTTGCTGATTCCATTCTGGCTGGATAGCCAACCTGAGGCAGTTCAGAGTTCAATTGCTGAAACACCGCACTAAGTCTATGCGTCTGCACTTGGGCGCGGACATTTGAAGATTGTGCTGGTTGTTGAACTCTGGGTTTTGCCGTACTGGCATATTTTTTTCCTGCATCTAGCAGGTGCTCACGCACAGTAGGTGTTGTAAAGCTTCAAGAAGGCAAGGTGCTGCGAAGCAACATGCAACATGATTACCCTTTGTTACAGTATATATCTTGAGACTGACTTGCCTATCCTGTGAAACAGTTGGGTTGCCTGGGTCTGCTACTCAACAAAGTTGCTCTTAAAACTTTGGGCATAGAATTAACGTTTGGCCAAAGGTTCTGAACTTGTAGCTGAAGGCTGTTTTTCCTTGCTGTTGTCAGGGCATGTCAAAAGTTGGGGTGTGCAAGAGTTCAACAAACCCCAGTCATCTTTGTTTCTGACAAAATGGCAGCGCGCTCCTTTTTCAGAGCGGGACTTGGGCCACGTCGGCCATGGTATGAACACTTCTGTACGTGTCATGTGTGTGGGCTGCAAATGTTTGACACCCCACCTAAAAAGTTGCATCTTCTTTTGCAACCTTTTTCAACATTCACCTTCAAGGGCGAATCTGGCAACTCTCTCCCGCCAATTGTCCTCATTGGCGGGACATCACAGCCACACAAAAGGCTGAAAAACCTTTCTTGTATGCATCGTCCCAGCCTAAGGGGTGGTCGAACCTCATGAAGGGATACCAATCCCCAAACTTACAGGTCAGTCTCGCCTGTACATACTGTGTGAACTGCGAGCGGGAAAACAAACCTGTCGTCAGCAACCTACGAGCTCTTCTTTCTTCATCTTCGCTCAAGTAGCGAATGCAGTTCTCAAGTTTGTTCCAATCTAGGGCTTCTGGTGGCTCTTCTCGATCGTAGTCCTGCCACAGGTAGTCATCATCTGGCAAGGTAGTGCCACTCTCCATCGGCACATCGGTGTAAATTACACCACCTCCATCTACTTCCATCTCTTCCACCCCAACTTCTTCATCTCTCTCGGAAGCTGTAGGCCTGTAATGCCTCCTGTACCCATGAGTCGGGCTCAGCATGAAATATTCTTCTCCACTTTCGGAGTCATCTCCGGATGCCAAAATTCGGTATGGCCTCAGTCGACGCAGTTCCGGATCCCAATCTGTGAGATACTGCTCGACTGTCACATCACCTCTGCTGCTTCTTTGCTCCTCTTCTTCTTCCTCCTCATCTCTTGGTCTGCGTCTTCTTCTGCTTTCTTGGGAAACTTCTTCTTCTTCATCAAGGCTTCCCTCTGGTCCTTCACGTTGTCGTCCAACTCTTGAACCGCCACGACTCCTTCTTAGTGGTTCTGGTAATGCAGGTGGTGGTTCACGCCTCCATTCACCACCTGTTGCTTCAACAGAAGCTCTAACTGCCCATTCTCTCAGGTCTAGTCCTGATCTTGTCGGTTGCTGGTCTTCATCTCTGTGGAAATCCGTAAACCCGTCACCTTGTACATCAGGCTTGACCCTTCTAAGCCATCTGGAAAGCATCTTCCACTTTGTATAGCCAACCCACACGCCAAAGCCCGCTATGGAGATCGTGTAGATCACAAACACCAGGATGTAGATCAGCCATCCATAGCCTTGGTAGGTTTGGCCATTGTTTTTGTCAGCCGTGAAGTTCTCCTCACTTTCATTTTCTGGCTGTCCATAGGCCCCAGGATGGAGAAGAAGCAAAGTCACCATTTTCACCATGGACTTTGAAATCTTCACTTTCGTTTCACTCTTCTCCTCCACCAGGGCAGAAATCATTTCATTCTTCACTTCTTTCATCTTCTGGGCAAGATTCTTCTTTCGCACCTCTTCATGGAAGGTCTCTTCTCCCACGTGGCAAAAGACTTGATCGGCGCCTTCTACATTCATTTCCATCACTTCAAGGTCTTCTTCTTGACTTCAAGTTGCATCCACAGATATCTTGTATCAATGCGCTTTAGGCGACCAACTCCAAGCCTTTCTGTGAAAGCTCTGCACGACGAGCTGTCGGTGATCGTTCTGATCATCACCTCTCTTGTCGTCAAAAACTGCCAGAGCTCCTTCAACTGTAATGCTTCGGCAGCCCCACCTTGCAGAAGCCAAGAATTCAGCCTCACATGAAGACAAAGCTATGCTCTTTTGAGATCTCGACCAGGCTGCTATCAGGCATCCATTCAAGAAAATCATCACACTGCTCACACTGTGCCTCCTTCGTTTCTGTGAGGATCTGTCTCCTGCCCAGTCGCTGTCACTCCAACTTTCCAGTGCATCAACATCATCTAAGCTGTCTGGCTGTAAGAGGATCTCGGCTTTCTTGCTCTTGTACTTGGTGTAGGGAAGCAAGATGCCATAGTGCTCAGTTCTCTTGAGGTAGAGAATGAGGTGCTTCAACTCACTTTCGGCCTTCTTTGTGGGACTGGCCATGAATTGGCTGAGGTTTCGGACACAATTTTGGATGTCTACTCTGTCTTGGGAGATGTATAGAAGTGTCCCCAAAGCTGAGCGAAACCGGTGTTGGTCCCCGTCTGTCAGCACATCTTCAGGCGATCCTTCAAGATCCATCTGTGTGCTTTCTGGCGTCGCCTTTCCTGTTCGTTGGGACAAGTGGTAGAGCTCAACAAGACTTGGCACATACTTCTCATGAGGTGCAATCACAATGCCTTCTGCGCAGCGGACCGGTTCATTTGCTTCTTGATCAGGCTGTGGGAGTACACCTGATTCACTAATCACGAACTTGTTCCTCATCTTATCCAGGAACCATGCCAACTCCACTGCCGAACCAGCTACAATCAAATCATCCACATGACATACCATGCCCAGATCCTTCTCCTTGTGCCGGAAAAGGGAAGGTAGGGATAGGTGATTCTCCATTCCCAACTCTTCCAGAGCCACCCCCAAGTAGTCAAACCATCGTGAAGCTGCATCTCGTTGGCCTGGTAGGCATCCAGCCAGCCTCCAATATCTCTTGGCTCCACTCAGCTCTCCTTCAAGCTCTTCAGGTTTCCACCACGCAGGCTGTTCAACCAAAACCAGTTTTGTCTGAGGGACTAGCAAAAAGGCGTCCTTCACATCAATGAAGCTTAATCTCCATTGCAGGATTGCATGGGTCGCCAGCAGAAGCCTTGTAGCCGCCAAACTCGAAGTCGGAGCGAAAGTTTCCGATGTGGTTTGATCATGGCCTCGAAATTCTCGTGCCACATACCGGCATCGCCTTTTCCACTTGCAGTTCCTCACTCTCCAATCAAAGACAGACCTTGTTGCGAGGATGCTCCCATTCTCCAAGTCTGAAGTGCTGGGCTCCTTCAACACGCCCATGTCTAGCAGCCTCTGTATCTCCTCTTGTCCTGCAGCTGCCTCAATCCTCTCAAGCTCCATTGGCCCCACCTCCGGTGGAGTCCCTTCGTCAATCACCTCATCTGAGAAGAGTCCTTCTTCCAACCAGAGCATTTCATCCTCGTCGTCAAAGCCTGCTATCTCTTGCTCCATTGGAATTCATCCACAGGTCGATCCTCTACCTGTTGGATTCCACCAGCAAAATGCGGCGCATACAAAGAAGTGGGACTTGCCGACGGACTTGTTCTGGGTGCTTTTGTTCTACTCTCTTCAACTGTGCTGTCATCCACCATCTGTTCATGTTCACTTCATGGAAGAGGAAGTTCTGGAGTCATTGGTGCACGTTCACCCACATTTACTCTCTCCTCGTCGAGGCCTAGAGGTAGTGGAGGTACACGGACATATTTCTCTGCAGGCTGCTCTTCAAGTTCTTCTTCTGCGAGATGTTTACGTCCACGTTCATGGCCTGCACTTTCTTGCTGTGGTGTTCCTCCTGGGTGTTCTAAAGCATACCTCTCAACCTCCTCCGCATCAGGGTCTCGTCCTCCATAAGAATGTTGGCCCGTCTGTTCAAGCTCCTTTTCTGCCTCATCTAACTGATCTTTCGCTCGAGCTTTGCCTGGACCTCTCACTGGTCTTGGCACCATAGGTGTAGATGGCAAAATCCTCATGGGCCTCCTCTGATGCGGGTTTCTGAAAGGTTTGGCTTTCACCATGAACAGGTAAACTGATCGCCATGGCTCACTAGTTCGTCGAATTGCCTTTCCTCTCATCACCCTGTCTCCAGAGACCACCAAGTGTAGATCTTCTTCATTTGTCTTGCCAACCCAAATACCTGGCAACCATTGTGGGCCCTGCTTCATTCCTGGCTGTCGTTGGAGAAGCATGACGTACTCTCCGAAGCAAACCACTTTGCCTGCGTACCTTCTTCCAGTGGCTAGTTCGAAAGGAGTCGCTTGCAAGGCACGGTGCGCAGCAAATCTGTTTATAAGCCATGCGGAGTGCAGGTAAACCCATGACCATAAAGTGTGGCTTCCGTCCAGGGGGATGAGACACTTATCTTCAGTCATTTTCATCAGACACGAGGCCAGTTTTCTGAGCGTTTGGATTGCTCGCTCAACTTGACTCGTTTGTCCTTTCTTTTGGGAATTGGTCACTGTTGTCTGAAGACCTAAGCTGCGCCGAATCGTCTGGATGTAGCTCAGGAGGTTTCTCATGGTAGGTTCATTGTCACCGATGATCTCCACATTGCCATATTGATTGAGCATGAGAGTGAACCTCACTACATGTTCGGCTTGTCCACGGAGATCAGCCCCTTTGCCTTCAACTGGCACTGCAAGAAGCTGTCTCAGCATCAACCCCCACAAGAATCGTCGTTAGCTCTGCCTTGTTGTTTCCTCCTGACCGACCATAGGTATAATCCAACTGCACTGAGGAGACCTTTCTTCTTCCTTCTACGGAGTGATCAAGTACTCGTTGATTATCATCTCGAGCTTTTGGTGCAACACAAAAGTCACACCAATCCCGATATGGAAGATGGGTGAGTTCACTTCCTCGCCAGGTTGCCTCGGGACGTTCACTTGAATCACTCCCTTCTGTTTGGCCTCTTCTTTGTAGAGCTTGTTGGCAGCCAAAAACAACTCCTCATACTCAAGCTGCTGCACTTTCTGATTCAGGCGGTTCCAAAGCGCTTTCTTTGAGCCACCTTTGCTCAGTCCCAAGTAGTCAGCTGCACCTTTGAGCAAAGCCGAAGAACTGTTGGCGTTCAGCTCCAG